CTAATAAAAATACATTACGGCAAAAAGACATTCAAATAAATCAATTAATTGAATGTTTATAAATGTAAAATGAAATCTTCAGGTTACAATGCGTTCTCTGGTGTCGACTTCAGTGGTACATTTTTTGTTAACACCGAAACGGATGATGACTATGCCGGATTTGTATTCTCTTATCAAGATAGCTCCAAGTTTTACACAGTAATGTGGAAAAAGCATGCCCAAACCTATTGGCAGGCAGCTCCTTTCAGGTATTATTTTGCACCAGGGTCCAATAACATGTCTAAGACAAAATAAGCAAAAATTTATGAAATCTGACAGCCCTGCAGCATGCAAGCTTTGGTTGTTCTCTGAGGAATGAAGTGCATTACTCTTATATTAAATGAATATAAATGAGCAATTAGATTTTAACTTTCAAAATATATCCTACTGGCAGAGCTGTTGCAGAGCCTGGCATTCAACTGAAGATGGTCAACTCAGACACTGGTCCTGGTCAAATTATGAGGAATGCTCTCTGGCACACAGGTGATACAAATAATCAGGTAGGTCATGATACTTTTATAAAAAACATAAAATAGGCATATTAAAATTTAGTTGATGAAAAAAATGTATCTGCTAGCGATTATGTATTTTCATGTGAAGATGTAAAACTAACACAAGGAACCATACACAAATTATATAATGTGATGAGGTTGGTGGGGTTTTATCATTTGTTATATTGTGTTATATAGGTTGGTTGGTTGGTTGGGGGGGATGGTTGAGAGCAATGTTAAATAACAATTCTTTTTATTTTAATTTTTGTTAATTAAAATTTTTGTAAAATTTCTGCTTTTAAAATTTACAAAATCAGCCTACATTATTAAAAACTAAAAAATATTTTTTGCTTACGAAAATTAGCACATTTTTGTAAAAAATAATTTCTGGATTTTTGCTTGGAATATGCTTGTTTTGGTTTGATTTTGGAGTGGGTAAAAAAAATTAAATGTTTTTTGTGTTATATAACATGGGCACGACCCCCAAATAAATATGTGGGCAGTGTTTGCTGTTTACACTCCAGGAAATATATATTTATAATTTTTAATGTTTTTTACGTAAGCCAACATAATAATCCTATCTTATTCTTTTTAAAGTTAAAAAGAAATAGGTTGAAATGCAATCTTTATAATTTAATTTATTCTAAAAAGGTGTCCCTTAGCCATTTTAATAAACTTGTGATATATGTTATTTAGTTCATAAAGCATTTCTATTTTGTTAAATACGTTTTTTAAGTTTCACAAAAGAGTTAATTACCATTTTGATAAATTATTTAACATTTTAAGAGTTCTAAATGTTCAAATCTAAAACACGAATTTCTAACCAAATTAGAGAATTGTTCTTTGTATAAACGATGTAAAACAAAGACGTTCTGTAATCGTGTTAATAAACAGGTTAAATTACTCTGGAAAGACCCAAGAAATGTGGGTTGGAAAGAAAAGACAGCCTACCGATGGGAACTTATTCACCGACCTGCACGAGGTCTTATCAGGTAGGAAGCAGGAGTAAATCTGAGCAATATCCCAGTAGGCAATAATCATTTAATTATCATTATGTAGCTGAATCAGGCTGTGTGACTGTCAGTTTTAATTGTGTTTATTTATAAATTTGAGAAAATTGGGCCTTTTGATGTGATTAACCGTGAGCTTCTTCTGTCAAAACATTTGAATGAGGCGGACATCTTTGCTGGTTTACTTCTTATCTGACTAACAAGACTCAGCATATTGTAGTGAATCAAGCATCTTCCATGGACCCTTCCCTTACCTGTGGTGTGCCACAGGTCTCAGTTTTCGGATCTATCCTATTCTCCATGTACACCAGCCAGCTTGGCAGAATTATTGAAAGTTGTGGTGCATTACGCAAAGTATTTACGGATGACATGGAACTGTACAAGAGTTTCCGCCCTGAACCTTTGGACTGTGCTGCTGCTGTGCAAGCTGTCGAGGAGTGCTGTCTTGTGGTGAAATCATGAATAGCATCAAACAGACTTAAATTAAATGACGATAAGACAGAGGCAATTATATGTGTTTCGATGCCAATATTGCTATTCCATTGATTAAAGTTGGTGCTTCTGAGATCCTATTTTCCAACATGGTTAGGGACTTCTACACTGACAGCAAACTTACTATGATCCCTCAAACCAGTTATATGGTCAGGGCTTGTTTCTGTTATCTTTGCGCTCTGGGTTAGCTGCGTCCTCAACTTAATAAGAGAACAACCAATGCCATAGCAGAAACTTTAATCCAATCAAGATTAGATTACTGTAACAGCTGTTTGTGGGGTGTACCTCAAAACCAAATTCAGATACCCCAGAAGGTACAAAATACTGCAGCATGCATTATATTACGTACAAATAAATCTGACCCTATCACCCAAGCACTCAAGATATCCATTGGTTTCCTGTGAGTGAACGCATTGACTACAAAATTCTGTCCCTGAAGTATAGCTGTATAGAAGGCTCTGAACCATATATCTTCAAAAACTAGCTTCTAAAAATGTATCCATACAGAACCTGTGCTCTTCAACACAGTCCGTACTGAGATTTCCCAGTGTGGATGGGCACAGAAGGAAGCTATTGCGCCTTAATTATGGAACAGATTGCCTCAATCTTTGATGGGCATTGAAAATGATAAAAAGTCATTTAAGAAACATTTAAAGACTTTTTTCGTTGAATAGATTTTAGGACAACAGAGCACTGAGCACTATGAGCATGCAAAAATAGCCCTATAAAAGTACTAAATCATCATCATCATCATCTTCATTTAGCTTTGTTTGGTTCTATAAAGAAAGCAAAAGAAAAATATAAAGAAAAAGGGCAAAATGGACTGGTAAAAAATGGCGCATTTTAGGAATGCATTAAAACTTTGAATCCAAAAACACATTAGCGCACGTCCTATAAATTGGAATGTACGGACATGCTAGAGGACATATATGTCACACATCAACCACGAGGGTCTATAACTTGCCTTCTGTCAGATTTTCTGTGATAAAATGACAATCCCTACAACCTGAGTAAAGTCAAAATCCCGGAGCAAAGCCCTAAAGACTTACAAGTGTCCGTTTTGTATCGGCGAGCAAAGCCCTAAAGACTTAAAAGTGTCCGTTTTGTATCGGCTATCATAGACACCCTTGTATATTTATATAAGTTAAATGGTTTTTGGGATATTTTAAATACAAGGTGTTGGGATTCCCCATGGATGAATGTGAAAACTCCATTAATTACTTAATATTACTATACCCTCCAAAGATATAGAATTGTAAAGAAACTAAGGTATAGCAAATAAATTCATCTTTCCAGCTAGATATTATCCATAGTATATTACACTAGGGTTCTAGAGAAATTAATTATTGAACTTATACCCAAGGCAAATATAGTGGTTCCCAATATTTAAGCATTATAAGCAATGGGGGAGGAGCCCTACATGCCATGTTTTGATACATAACCCCAAGGTCAAATTCCACTACATCATTGGGCTCTAAACACTGTTTCATAAAAGTGTGGCCTACAATTAAATAGAGTTATCATAATTATATTCCACAATTGTACATTTACATTACTTACTTACATTTGGTATAATTTATGAAATGAAGAATATTTAAAAAATATGATCCTTAAATTAATTTGCATCTAATCTTAAAAATATTACAGAAATAACCTTAACTTACCGATACAATATCTGCCTTGGTTTTCTTGAATTAAAAGACTGTTAACTTAAAATTGGCTAAACTGTATATACAATCTAATCTTGTTTAACTTAATTTTTAGTGATTTTATTCCTCATCAAAAACAGTTATTTGACATTTCATTTTTTAATTTTTATTAATTATTCCGTACGTGCTCTAAGACAAAATTCATGTGTAACCTCAAACATTTTCACGGTTTCATGTAACATTAGACCAGTTGTCTTTAAATATGTCAATTAACCATATAATTTCACTTTAATTTTGGTAAAATAAATAAAAAATAATTCATACTATGAATGATTTATTAATTTTTCAGGCTGATAAATTATTTGTAAATTTAATTTTTATAGAGTGTTACTCTTTGAGGAAACTGATCTGGTAGCAGACTCTGGCAATATCTATGACAGCACTCTTAAAGGGGGACGACTTGGTGTTTTCTGCTTCAGTCAAGAAATGATTATTTGGTCAGACTTGGTCTACAGATGTAATGGTAAATATTGATGAGAGTTCTTTTTGAAAACATTTAAAATAATTATGTGATGTATGATATTATAGTTTTAAAAAAAAAGTTAAAGCAGCTAATTCTTATTTATTATTTACTTGTTGTAATAAGGTCTGAAGACATAGTTTACACGAAATTTGTAAAAAAAAATAAAAACTAAAATATTTTACAATTGTTTTCAGAGTTTATTCCTAAAGGGCTATTGGAAAATGAAGAAGGTGGAGAAGATTATGAGACTGAGTAAATATAATGAAATTCATTATGAATGAGGTAAACTTGTTGTCAAAATTAAAAAAAATTGTTTTTCAATAACTTTGTAGTGATTATATTTTAATCTTTTCTACCCTATGGAATGTGTTGAACATTAAAATAATTTTGATTTATTAAATAAAGTTTAAAAAAAAAATTGCAAAAAAATGTGACTATACCTTTTCTATTTGACAAGGTGATCTTAATTTAAAGATGTGTAGCATCAAGGCATTTTGGAAGAACCACAAAGTTGTACTACTTAAAATGATGTTATTGAAAATATATCTGAAAATAATTGTTTATTTTACTATTAAACATTTGAGACCACCTATATATAGGCCTATCTAATGATTGTTAAATTGTGTACAGAAATATTTTAAATAAAAAAAAAGTTATTTCATTACTTATATTAAGAATTTACTTTATTATTTGAATTAATTCTGTATTTCGGTGTAAATTTTAGTTTTTAAAATTTAAAAATACAAATGAAAACAAAATGTTTAATCATATCAGAAAGTTAAAAACATTGAAACAATTTCAAGGACAAATGTTTTATTTATTGTAAAAACATGGTCACATCCAAATAATAAATCAACATATAATGTTTATTTTACATATTTTTACGTTTTGTACTATATGATTTGCATGTTTCAACCTCAAGGGATCAAATGATGTCAGATCAACCAAGAAACATAACTTTTTATAAAAATGCTATTTGATGTACTGAAGTGACCTCTTTTAAGTCTTTTCTGATATGTTCTTATTTTATTTCTAGTCTTTGAAAAATTAGCATCTAGGCATAGGTTTACTTCCTAGTGATAAGAATAAATGGAAATTAAAAAAAAAAAGATTTTATTTGGCTGAACTTTGGTGTTTGAAGTCATTCCCTAATTTTGCAAATAATTAAGAAACAAGTGATCAATCACAACTTTACTGGGTTATACCGACTTGATATATTCTAAAAATTATTTTTGCCATCATTTTGTTAATAGAAAAAGTTAGACCTACATTAAAACAAAATTACATGCGTATAAATTTATATACATCTTTCTTCCAATATTCAAGAGGGTGCTCCTATTGTGCTATTTGTATTTTCCTTTTATTAAAACAGGTTTTGAGAAAACTGAATGAGAATCTGGTAGATCCTTTAAAAAAAACTGTTCCTTTTGGGGAAACTTTTTGTTGTGTTATGCCTACAGATATTAAAACTCAAATTATTACCTTTGGAATAGAAGTTGATCTAATTGTAATTTGCCTTTCTTAAAATCATCTTCTGGAATCAAGATACATTATTAATGAATAGCATTAAAACAGGCAAACAACTTTTTACATTGAAAGAGAGTAAAAACAGAATTGTCAAAGTATGAAAGAAAAATAGCCATTAAATAAATAGGCTGCGTACAATAACTGATACATGTAAAAAAAAAACAAACCAGTATTTAAAAATCTAATTGTATACCAGGTAATAAAAAAGACTCAAAATCTTAACACTGAACATAACCTTATTTTTGGGTTTTAGTTTGAAGGAAATCGGAGGTTCCTATTTAGACACAAGAGCTTCCAGTCTGTTTGGAGCAGAAGAAATCAAAGGAGAAAGGAGAGTGTTCCTAAAGGCACAGTGGATTCTGCCCACACATGAACTTCAGATCGTAGATACGTAGCATTTGACGTAAAACACGAAACCCTGACAACTCACTGACTTGTTTAATGTTGTCTACGTTAAATGCCAAACCATTGCATTTTATTGCTCTTAATTGTCGGTGTGGGCGTTTAGAGAGGACCAATAAGAGAGAAGTAACGGGAAGAGTCATTTCCACCAATCATGTTGGACAGAATGCTGGGTTTACGATGTTCTAAAAAACACAGGAAGATAGGAGCGCTGTCGTCACAGTCGTAAGAACAAATGTTAGCAGCGCTTTATTTTGGCGGGAAACCGATTCCTGGCTCGAAGTAGCATAATGTGGATGCCAGCCGTAGTCATTGCCATTCTCTTGTCGTAAATACTTCAGTAAAGGTTCGAAGTAGTCCATGAGAGGCCGGGCGTCCATTTTGTATTGTCCTGTGAGTACATACATGGCTTCCGGCCAGGGCTTCGAGGAGCCTAGTTTTAGCATTTCGCTGGGTTTTGAAAAAAAAACAAAAACAAATTCAATGCGTTAAAGTTTTTTTTACAACAAATATTGTACATAATTATTACCAATGACCCGTTACGATCCCACTGTAAACAGTGTCAATCAACAAATAGAGAACTTTCTACTTAACATTAATTCCACAAATAACGCAATTCATAAATTGGACATTTATTCACTAGTGGATATGCCCCGCTTTGCCTGGATGACATTGGCACAGGTCTAACAAAACAGACCGGGCCATATGGTGTCAAGGAGTGGGGATGGTTATAAAAAGCTCAACAACTGTAAATCAATTGAGGAAACTTGTCCATTAAGTGCAACAGTTTTAACGTAAAGGAGGCCCTTAACCTTTAAAAGTTGTATCATGAAAGTATTTTATTAGATCCGGTGGTATTGCCTTTTTCATTATTATCCTGGTGCCCCAGCCTCAAAAGAACGTTTTACATCATAGTTATCTACTCCAACTGTTTCTTCCACAAAAGAACGTTTTACATCATAACTATCTACTCCAACTGTTTCTTCCACAAAAGAACGTTTTACATCATAACTATCTACTCCAACTGTTTCTTCCACTCGGCTTGAACGCACTCGCTTATATTTTATCTCTTTTCTTGTCAAGGAATGGCGTAACTAAATACTGTAGATAAATATTCAAGGTAACATTAACAGTTTTAAATCGATTGACAGACCACTTTGTTACTTGTAATTCAATTTAGAGACGCTGGCAGGCAGTGGCTTAGCTAGGGGGTGCGGGGGGGGGGGGGTTTCGGCCCGGGGGGACCATTAACATCAAAATGAAAAATTGCATACTTACATAGAATACACTGCTCGATAAAACCGAATCTCATAAAAGGATAACGGATGAAATATAAAATTTTCACACATGTAACCAATCCACATTCGTGCTGTATTAAAAGTTCAAGGTTGATGCGTCAGAAATGAAGTGACCCTATAAGTAGGTCAGAAAAAAACAACAAAAAAACTTTTTGACTATGCTTCAACGCGGATTGGAGTTTTAGGTAACTTTCTTAAGTGACAAAAAGATTTGATACCAAATACGATTTGGACGCGAGATTTAAAGGTCATGTTACATTTCTTTAATGCATTTACATCCTGACCCTCAATAAATTTGTTTCTGTTCTTGTCATTGTTATAATGTGGACTTATTTTAACAAGAAGAAATCCATCGTGGAAGTCGGGGAGGACCGGGGGGTGGGTGGGGGTGTGACACCATGAGTTTACCGCACCGGGTGACACCAACCCTAGCCACGCCACTGCTGTCAGGGGACGGTACTATAACTATATAACTATTCATGAAATTTTTCAATTGGTTTGGAACGTATCACAATCTTTTAAATTAACATTCAAGCTTAAAAAGCTGAAAATTGTTTGAGTGACTCAGATGAAGTGTACGTTCCACAAGTTGCTATTAAGTTTTTCACCCTATCGAAAATCCTTTATTCGTGAAAAATTTTCAAGTTTGTTACCGGTTACGAGGTCCCGGTTTGAACCCAGTAAGAAAATGCCATTTAATGTGTTATCTAAATGTTGACCTACATTTACATAGTTAGTTACTTCATGTTAATTGTTAAGCTAATATATATATATTATCAGCTCCAAATCGTTCGATGAGGTGCCCAAATTTTAAATCACAGCTTATCAAAAGCCATTAAGTAAAGATTCAAGGTAAATTTAAAATTTGTGAAAAATTTGAGAGGCCCCATTAAAAAGTCCCGATCCATAAGGTATACAAATTATCGTTTGAAGGGAGGCCCTCTCATAAACCTCTTCATAAATATCCTGGATAAAATATTTAAAAATTGTTAATCAGTTTGGGCGCTCCCCCCCTCCACTCCAGTGTTAAAAGTTATTGTAATCTAGCATACTATAGAACAACTGCCTTTGCTGTTTCTAGTATGCTATTATACATGATTAGTCATTTCATTTGAATGAAGATAATACAAAATCTATGGATTGCACAATTTTTATGATAATTAATTTAATTACATTCTATTGCAAAAAAAATAATTAAACGGTTAAAAGAGGCACTGCTTACGGCTGATGGGGGTTAAAGCAGATACAGATTACGAATTTGGAAAACCACTCTGACTTAAAAGATTCTTGAAACATTGAAACTGGACCTTTCGAAATTATGTTCAATGTTGACTTCAATTTCACCCTGTGAATCAGCATTATCAAAGAAACGGGCTCGTCAAGACAAAATACACATTTCGATTTTATTGTTGATGGGCATATTTAGAGTCAGCGTTGAGCTGTGTCTTGAGGAAAGTGTACACGATTACTTCTAAAAGTTTTAACTAAAATTACGTTTTTTTTTTAAAAAGAAAAAGAATGTCAAATTTCAAATTTAAGTTTAGTTAAATTATGGTTAAACAGTTTGCGCCTTCAATTAATTTTATTTAATTTTAATAGTAGTGATTAAGGATTTATATTATTATGGCGAATTTTACTTTTAATTCACTAGACATGTTTTGTGTGTGGAACAAATGTTACCCACATTTGGTCAAGGCAGAGGCGTAGCGAGGGTGTTTGGCGCCCGGGGACGAGATTCGCGCCCAGGGACAAGATCCATTTTAAAGCGCCCCTTTTTCTTTTTTTTTTTCAACTCTCAAACCCATTATTTCCTTCCATAAGATAATATCAAAGCACATTTTTGCGCCCCTAACTAGCTGGCACCCGGGGACATCTGTCCCCCACCTGCCCCCCCCCTCGCAACGCCTCTGCGTCAAGAAATGATAATTCAACAATGAAACGTTATCTTTTGCTTTTTCTTCTACATATTAAGGGCCCACGATTAATGTATTGATCATTATGGCTCCTATTTATGCAGAGATGATTTGAAAAGTTTCTGTGTAAATTAACACCTAACACAATGTTCTCTTGTAATTAGCAAATCTATCTTACGCATAGGAAAGACGTTCATTTTTTAGCTCAAATAAAAACATTAATTGAACCTTCATGACCGACCTACACGCAGCGCAAAAATCATGACACTCTTTCATTTGTGTAGCTCATATAAGGGGAACAAATTCTGGATTTTCGGCCAACAAGGACCAACCCGAGGTCGGATAAAATTGGCCTAGCTTCTAGGATAAAAGAGAAAAGATGTGGGAGCTTTCAGCTCTCTAGGTCCAGCAGTTTTTTAAATATTTTTTATATAAAGCCGTCAAACATGTCCATTAACACACAAACCAATAGTGAGATATTTAGAGATAGTTAGGGCCTATTACAGACAAAAATGTCATCCACAATACCTTAGCAAAGTCCCAGCTTCCTTGCTGTTGTAGATATCACATTTGTGAAGTGGACCTATGTGGCCGGCCTTTTCACATAGGGCTTTATGGAACTGGAACTGGATGATTTTGCTAACAAAATACCTGAATGGACATTTCATATCTTACAGTTACCGTATATACTCGCATATAAGCCTACTTCGCATATAAGCCGACCCCTTAAAACTGCTTTAAAATGGCCAGTTTTGCAAAAAAAAAACCCGCATATAAGCCGACCACACAATTGTCTCATTTTACTCCAAAGATGTAATTTTACTTTAAAGATGTAAAATGCTTACTTTTATGTCACATACCAGTTTGTTTACCTTTTGGAATGACACAAAAACGTGTTTTGCTCTTTCCACATTGTTTGCTATAATAATATCTGGGCTTACGCTCATAAATTCTTTGAAGTGACACCTCTGTCTGTATATATATATATATATATATATATATATATATATATATATATTATTATTATTACTCTGTACACACAACCAAATAAAGAGTCAGATAGCGATGAAAATGTGTGGCTGGAAAATTGGCATTCGTGACTGTCCTTGTGTCCATTTTGTTTTATGCGCATATAAGCCGACTCCTTGATTTCAGTATTGTATTTTATAGTTCTAAATTCGGCTTATATGCGAGTATATACGGTAATTAGAATTATTGTTTTTGTTTTGTTCTGTTAAGTTCTATTTAGTCCTAAATTTAAAAGTTTGCACGTATGTCTTATCAATATAAATTACCTGACGTATGGCACATCGGCTGCAACATGGAATACTGACCCGGGATCAAAAGCAGAGGAGTCTCGAGATACTGGTTGAGACACTCCTTCGTACATGCCCCTGGAAACAGGTGTGTAGATATCATGATATTTTATGTTAAATATTTCGTTTTGTGTTGGTCTTAGGGTCAGTATCAATCCCTTCTGTGTTGGTCTTAGGGTCAGTATCAATCCCTTCTGTGTTGGTCTTAGGGTCAGTATCAATCCCTTCTGTGTTGGTCTTAGGGTCAGTTCAAGGGTATTAGGTACTAGCTTCATCGATATCCTTTGCAATACATTTCAGATATCTTTATGTATATTCAATAATTTGGTTATCATCTAAAATTGTTTATCTTATTGATAGTCTGAAGCAAAGCTCTAGGCTTCTGAAAAAAAACAGCAACCAGCTGCAAAGATTGCTCCAATAAAATGAGCTACATGGACAGAAGGGTTACCAGAATATGTATCGAAAATCGGTATTTTCTTCCCCACCCCCATGGAAAGTTAACACAACACTGATGTCTTGAAAGCTTCACATTATTACTAAACTCATGGCTTGAGTGGCTGGGGGAATAAGGCCGCAGCCATGGGTGCACTGCTATGGGGGCTGGGGGGGGGCACAAAAATGGCCGCTGACATTACTGTGACAAACATCAAGACACATATTAGGTTATCGGTAGAGAAGGAAGGCCTCACAAGGTAGCTATGTCACGAAAGGTAGGGTTGAAATAAAATCCGCATGAAATCTTAATTAGTTTGTGTATTTGATGTGATTTATTATAAAATTATTCATCTTGTAAGGATAAGTAAAAAATAAAATTCCAAATAGCTGCGTCCAATGGGATTTTCAAAGCAACGTAAAGGCGTCATTTTTTAGATTTTTTTTAAACGGAAATGGTATTCTTTAAATCTGCTGTAACAAATCTGTTCATTTTATAATAAATGTACAATTATAATTGATAGAAACAACCATATGTGATATTAGAATTTTAAGAACTAACCTAAATATTTGAGTTAACATATTGTTTAAGCAGGGCATTCCTTTTAACCGTACCTGAAATTGAAATGGGAAAATTTGCTACCACTTTATATTTATGGACATTTCAGCATAGTCATTTGGGATTTAGTTAAGGCAAAGTTTTAAATATTTTTAATAGTTTATTCAATTTTCAAAATTCTTTCGATGTTATGATATTAAAAATTTGGCTATTTATTTTCAATTCAAGGATGAGGAAACCATAATTTCTAAAGCGCAAAAGTGTATCTTGCGCAGAGAAAAAGTGGGACGTTGGAGTGACACACAAAAGACCCCGATAAGAACTTCCTAATAAAGATCAATAAATGAAGAACTGCGTTCAAGCTGTGTCAAGGAAATTGAGGAACAAGGTATGTGGAAGATTGAAACAGAAAGACAGGAAAAATGAAAGAACGACGTTTCGGCTAAGAGCCTTCCTCAGCAGACAGATCCAATGGAGAAACATCAAGAAATATAAAATAGTTTAAAAATTTAAGTGATCACTATTTTGGTATTGCCGGAATTGGCCTTTCCAAAACGAAGATTAAATGAAGTAACATAATTTAAATATCAGTACTGTGATTTTTTTTTATTAACAGACACAAATAGTAAGAAACTGTGTATAATATAATAAAATAAATACTGGGAATGGAGGATAACTATTAGGAGAGTATTTGATTGATTCCATATGTTGATATTGTGCAAAAAATCTGAAATAATTTTTTTTCTCCTCTAACTCTTGCTGGTGTGTTAGTGCATCAAATCAATGTCGTGATGGAAACATCTAATCTGCCTGTGTGTTTATCTCCGTTTAAATTGGATGAAATCAGGGAAAATGTACCCTTTTCAAAGTCACGAAGATGTTCAGAGAACATATCCAATAATATCGTATTCCAGTTTCGCTTATATAATATGAGCGTCATAGATGGCACACATTTGTAGAAATCACATTTCGACTAACACATATGTGAAGCCGTGTTCGGGGATAAAAGCACCCTTAAGAAGGCTCATGTTTTTGGTTTCAAGTTTATAGGAGCAAGTTCTACAACGGATTCTTGAGCATGGTTTATTTCCCAAAGTGAGACTTCGTTGGCTCTAAGGTGACTGGTGACTTACACAGGTCACCTAATGAAGGCCAAGCGATAAGAGAAATAAATGCTGTGAGTTATAGAAGGCGACTTGTGCACTGGACTCCGAGAATATATCAAATGCCACAAAATGCAAATATCCTAATTCTATACCAAATGAGAGACAGAAAAACAGCCATGCTAATTAGAAAGATTAGCCACAAAGTAAGTTTTGTTAAAACGCATGCTAATCCTCACTTCTGTTGACCATCTAATATCTACCGTCAATTCTGTAATCCTAAACTTTGCCAAGGAACGTCCAATAGATGAAATGTTCACTTATTGCCGCTCAAAACGCTCAAATTTAAGCTGCTACGATCTTCTGACGAGAGCATCAAGTCTTTCCTTATATGACGAGACGGGATGACGGTCAAATAGACACGGGAATTTTACGAGGGAGCAAAACAAAAACTGAGTTTGTATTAAAGTAAGCTGCTAGCTTTTATATAAAGCAACTCAGCAGCAACATCAAATGAAAACAGACCGAGCAGAGTTAAGAGTCACTTAACCTCAGAGCCATCGAGTCGGCTTGTTTTAAGTGTCACTTAATCTCAGAGCCATCGTCTGGGCCTGTTTTAAGTATCACTTAACCTCAGAGCCATCGCCTGGGCCTGTTTTAAGTGTCACTTAACCTCAGAGCCATCGTGTGGGCCTCTTTTAAGTTTCACTTAACCTCAGAGCCATCGCCTGGGCCTGTTTTAAGTATCACTTAACCTCAGAGCCATCGTGTGTGCCTCTTTTAAGTTTCACTTAACCTCAGAGCCATCGCTGGTCCTGTTTTAAGTGTCACTTAACCTCAGAGCCATCGTCTGGGCCTGTTTTAAGTTTCACTTAACCTCAGAGCCATCGGTGGGCCTGTTTTAAGTTTCACTTAACCTCAGAGCCATCGCTGGGCCTGTTTTAAGTTTCACTTAACCTCAGAGCCATCGCTGGGCCTGTTTTAAGTTTCACTTAACCTCAGAGCCATCGCTGGGCCTGTTTTAAGTTTCACTTAACCTCAGAGCCATCGCTGGGCCTGTTTTAAGTTTCACTTAACCTCAGAGCCATCGCTGGGCCTGTTTTAAGTTTCACTTAACCTCAGAGCCATCGCTGGGCCTGTTTTAAGTTTCACTTAACCTCAGAGCCATCGCTGGGCCTGTTTTAAGTTTCACTTAACCTCAGAGCCATCGCTGGGCCTGTTTTAAGTTTCACTTAACCTCAGAGCCATCGCTGGGCCTGTTTTAAGTTTCACTTAACCTCAGAGCCATCGCTGGGCCTGTTTTAAGTTTCACTTAACCTCAGAGCCATCGCTGGGCCTGTTTTAAGTTTCACTTAACCTCAGAGCCATCGCTGGGCCTGTTTTAAGTTTCACTTAACCTCAGAGCCATCGCTGGGCCTGTTTTAAGTTTCACTTAACCTCAGAGCCATCGCTGGGCCTGTTTTAAGTTTCACTTAACCTCAGAGCCATCGCTGGGTCTGCTTTAAGTGTCACCTAACCTCAGAGCTATCGTGTGTGCCTCTTTTAAGTTTCACTTAACCTCAGAGCCATCGTTGGGTCTGTTTTAAGTGTCACTTAACCTCAGAGCCATCGTCTGGGCCTGTTTTAAGTTTCACTTAACCTCAGAGCCATCGTCTGGGCCTGTTTTAAGTGTCACTTAACCTCAGTGCCATCGCTAGGCCTGTTTTAAGTTTCACTTAACCTCAGAGCCATCGTCTGGGCCTGTTTTAAGTTTGACTTAACCTCAGAGCCATCGCTGGGCCTGTTTTAAGTGTCACTTAAACTCAGAGCCATCGTCTGGGCCTGTTTTAAGTTTGACTTAACCTCAGAGCCATCGTCTGGGCCTGTTTTAAGTGTCACTTAACCTCAGAGCCATCGTCTGGGCCTGTTTTAAGTTTCACTTAAGCTCAGAGCAATCGTATGGGCCACGCAACCCTTAAGACCTCAGGTGGCTTGGGGTACTTTAGGCGCTATTGTTTTTGAAGTGAACACTTTTCAACTATCAACTCTGAAAGAAGGTGAGGGGGGGGGGACGTATCCGAATAGTGCAGGCGGCCTCGAAATGTCAAGCGATGGCTCTGCTTGACCTGGTATATATTAAAACATTTTAAATGATTCTTTATGCTCAAATTTAGAACTATCAACTTTATATTGTGTGTAAAGGGTATTATACTAATCAATTAAAACTACATAATGAAAAATAGATATCTCATAACCCCACGCTAAGCGTAAGGCCAAAGGTAAGATATTGATAAGGATAATTTTGTATATATACCTCAAGTTCCACCATTCATCATTGTATCTATCAGGCGTAGTATCTCCTCTAAATACGCTCCAACGCCATTTGTCAATAATGTATGTGAAAGGAAGGCCAGCGACCAGCTTCAGAGCCATTCGCATCAGGAAGTTGATATAAAATTCTATTGAACATTTTTTGAAAAAAAGTTGATGAAAGAGGTGTAAAGGCACTTATGTTCTATGAACGCTGTTGAATATTTAAAAAAAAAGCCTTTTTTTTTGGTTTGGCTGTCACTGTGCACTTTATGAAAAGCCATACAGAAAAATAGGTGGCTATATACCTGTGCTATTATTATATGAATATCTTTAAAAGGCATTTTTGAAAAATAAAAGTTGGCCTTAATTTGGATGGTACAACTAACATACAAAATGTACATGTGATTTTTACTATGCTGTGTCGTGCTTAACCCAAAACTTTCCAGCATGGAGTGCTGTACCTTGCTTAAAAGCCACACGGGGTTACTCCCAAAATTGCGTCCCCGTGGCACATTTTTAATACTCGCAACAGGGTCGTGCAGAGGCAACCGAATAAATCACCCGGGGGCCATGGCCCCATGGGACACTTGAGGTCGTACTTTTTTTTGGATACAGATATGCCTGATACAATTATTTTGAATTTTGTGGGAGCCTAAAATTTGGATTAGCTTGGGGGCCCATAAATCCTCTGCACGACCAAGACACCAATCGTTAAGCCTTTAAAAAAAACCCCAATCCGCAACTTATAAAAACACTTTAATCTTGAAGAATAGGATTTACTAATGAATACAAGGTGATCAACTTTATAGTGTTATACTATCAGTCAACGATTTTTTAGATGCGGGAATGGGGGGGGGGGGGCGGGCTCCGCAAATAAGACACTTCATATTGATGATAATCTTGAAGAATAGGATTTACTAATGAATACAAGGTGATCAACTTTATAGTGTTATACTATCAGTCAACGATTTTTTAGATGCGGGAATGGGGGGGGGGGGGCGCGCTCCGCAAATAAGACACTTCATATTGATGGATCCTATGGTGTCTTTATTTCCAGAAATCTCATGCCAAGTCATACTAAGGGGCTATCCAGGTGTTAAGCACATACACCCCGTCCCGCTTTACACGTGTACATGTTTGGACCCACCCCGACTTGCAAAAGTAGAAATGCGCTTTTCTCCCGCTAGTCTAAATTCAAATGAGCTGTAGATAATTAGGATCACCAGGGACAAAGCACATTTAAAATAAGCCACCCTAAGCCTCTGTATGCATTGTTAAAAATGTTGTCACTTTTCTCCCCATTTCAAGTTCGCAGCCAGATTTATTTCAGCCGAACGAATTATTATGTAAAGCATTACGACACACGAACGGAAACATACAATTGCGTACAGTATACTAAAGTTTTTACTTAAGTAAATATTAATATTGCGATATCTAGCTAGTTCATTGGTAAAAACACACACGAATATAATTACGAAACATCACGGGGATATATTTATAGCCTTTGAAAATGATTAAAACTCATGAATTTCACAGATTTGAAATCGACGATTGGCTAATTTGGAGATTTACTGAATCTATTTATGGACTGTCAGAATTTGCACAATAATTATTGCTTAACTAGGGTAAAAATGTTCACACACTTTATGCTGATACAACTACCCAATCTCCCCATGCGTACGAGTAAGCAAAATATCAAAACTCAGGGGCTGTTAAATTTTTATGAATTGGTGCACCCACTCTTGATTTCAGAACGTTTCCTGCACAGCAAAAATAATAATAAAAAATATGACACAAATGCAAATAAACCTGATTTTCTGCAGGGACCCTGCATAAGGACCCCTGTCCTCCCCCACCCAGTGTCTTTGTAATATAAATATTGCACTAACCTACCATCATCATCTGTAACGCAAGGGAAGAGACCAATCCTATGCAAGTGTTTTGGGGTTTGCACTGACAAAGATATGACATCACCAACTGCTTCATGGAAACCTGATTTTTTTTTAAAAAAAGGAAGAAACGTTTAAATTATGACTGATTCCCCCTATGACCGATAAACGATGCTGCTGCTGGGTGTCGTCCCCGGCTTGACACGTAAATAGTTCTGGAGTAGGTGGAATGAATATACAAGTGTTTTGTTTTATTTAATTTAGTTTGTGTTAATTTTTAAGGTCATGATTATGTTTGTTAAATTATATGTACAACGTGGTGAGCCCAGCCATAGGCTGAGGTATCGTGCTATATACAACCACCACTAATAATAATAATAATAATAATAATAAATGACACAAAAACAAGCCGTGGCATTCATCCTTACACCCATCACCCCCCCCCCCTTTCCTCATTGGTCTTGATATTGACGTCACTGATTAAATTTGTAGCGATCTAACATTAACCATCTTTCCCTTGATTGGGAAAAGCCTGCCTACGTTCAAATTTGTTCTTAAGAATGCTATTGTGTGATGCAATTTCAAAAATTTCTTTTCTGGGGGATCTAACTCCCTCCCTATAAATATGCTTGCAGCTTTTCCAGCTGAAAGAGATTTTTCTAAAAAACGAAACTTACGAGATTTAATATAATTATAGGAGCCTTACAATATTCTAATCTTTCTGTGTGTGTATATTTATATTTGTAGCTTTCGAGGATTAAAATTTTTGCTTTGCTGTAATCTAATGTATTTTTTTTATTTCTGTATATTTGATTTTGCTTTTCTATTTAAATTAACCAGAACAATTCAATTGAATACTGTTAATATAATTATCTTCGGTACCGGTTTTATTTGTATACTCTTTTCAGTTCTTTGTTAGAGAAAAACCAGCGAGATCTTAAAACATAATTCATTTACAAAACCTCAAAATCTGTAATTAACAGATCCCCATACGATCCACGACTACTTAATGCAGCTCATTAAACATATGGCGATAATTTCGCCTCATTTCGTCGTTTGTGCACTTGATTAAACATTTTAAACCAAATTTTACATTAACCTTTTCAGATGAAAGCAAAAAAAAAAAAAAACAAAAAAAAAAACAAACAAAAAACGGATTTTAGACCAATCCATTAGTAAATAATTTAAATAACTCAAATACATACCTTAATTGAATAAAAAATATATCTAACACATACACACTCCCCACACACATACGCCACTTTCCACTCACACCCCCTCACCCACAACCCCACCCCACACACACCTACGTACTCAACTCCCCACTCGCACTCACATACTCCATCCGCACTATCATACACTTGACCCATACCCTCATTACTCATTTGTATGAAAGTGGAACTTGACCCATACCCCCATTACTCATTTGTATGAAAGTGGAACTTGACCCATACCCCCGTTACTCATTTGTATGAAAGTGGAACTTGACACATACCTTTATTCGCCCCACTTCTGAAAATGACGGGCTGGTCTTTGTATTGAAGATAGTATTCAACGTGTCCCATTTCATGGTGGACGGTGTCCAAATGCTCTGCCGTGACCTCCGTGCACTGCTTGATTCTAGGTAGAATAATGAAGATTCTTCATAGTATCATCAGTAGAAAGTCAGGTCGGCTTAAATTTCCAAAGCTTCCAAGTAATTAAGGACGCCCCAAAAACATTGAATAATTTCCTTTACTATTTATCATTGCATTTAAAATCCATTGATTAAAGATTGCCCAAATGTCTAGCTAAATTTTGATTATGTTTGAATAAACTTTAAAAAACTATAAATAATGTTGTTTCTGTCATTTTTGTTTGTATCCGTTGTTCGTATCCGTTGTGAAACCCCATGAAAGATCAGAATTAGCTTAATTAAATCATTACCTGAAGTCTTTCCCGTTACCAAAGTCCCAGGCGGAAGCGTGACAAATAACTTCGCGGCCATCTGTAGGTTTTTCAAAAAGCGATTTATTCCAGAAGGATTCGGGCATTTGTATCATCCCCAGTGACTTGAAGAAATCGTCTGCTGTTTTGAAAAGATCCAATACCCCGTAGTTCTGAAAGAATTAAAATTGAAGTCCACGTAGTTTGTTATTGCGACTTCACCCAATTTCCAATCTAGATTTGTCCTCCTGATTATCTCTTTGCATAACTACATTCCCTCTTTCAATATCTACTGCTGGCGTAGGAAGCGGTTACGTATTTAGAGTTAGTGTCACCAGCTACTTCCGTGATCTCTGTAAACCTCTCTCTTAAACAATCGCCATAGATTTATCACACCTATACACTTAGCCTCAATCCCAGCTGAGTCTCTCTCTATAATGTAAAAAGAGAAATATCATCGACTCACTGATCACATGATCTAATCTCAAGAACAACAAGCCTTATGTAGCTTATGTTTTCCTTTCAGATATATCTCATTCTCGTGGCGTGCACTGGCAAAGTTTTTTTTTTTTTTCTTTTAAATAAAAAAATTCCAGATTTTAGGTCACCTGAAATGACTTAAGTCCGAAACATATTTAAAAACAATAGTTTTTTTTACATTGAACACCTTCTAAGGCCAGAACTCCGAAAAAGTAAAAAAAATGAGCCAAAAAAGAACAACAAATTTCTATCATAAAGACGTAATTTTTTAAACAAGTGCCAATTATTGTAAGCAAACAATATATATATTTTTTTAATACTCTGCTAATTTCGTAAAGTGGAAAAATAGATATTTTGCAAAAGTAGGTATTACTTAAAATAAAAAATAAATTAATATAAAATCGTTTTTGTACCATCCCCACCCCCGAATAACAAAACGATATCCACATCTACCCCTTCGCGTTATATAATATGTGAAGGGTCCTTTATTTGTTAACATCAATCAACAACAGCCCCATGCCCCCCACCCCGTAGTGAGACACGGGCGTAATTTTCTATCTATATTATATAAGCCAAATACCACTCACTCAATACCTCACTGTCTGCTAACAATATCTCAAGTTGAGACCAATCGAAAGTGATTTGTCTGATTTTGTCCAAACCGAAACCAGACCAAAAGTTAAAAAAATGAATTTCGGTTGAAACAGAAACCAAAGACACAACGAGACTTTCGAACGAAGCCAAAGCATAACGAGTCTTTCGGCCGAAACATAAGCCGAATGATTTAGATGTTTTTAAATTAGTTCACGCATAAATTCTGCAATCATCGAAAATTAAAAGGGGAAAGTATCAATATTTACATTCTTTTTATAAAAAAATGAGATCATCGTAAATATTAATAAACTCGCGAGAATCAGGCATGCGTTGCAATGCCACTCAAGAAATAAAATTGTTTGTGTTTTAATTACGTTTTTGAAGAAATTTTTAAATAGAAAATATGTTCTGTTCTTGCCGTCTGGTGAGTACACAAATAAATAAGAGGATTTTTCGACACGTGAACAGGCCACATAAGTCGTGAGAAGCATGGGTTTTTAAAACTTAGTTCACACACTTGTAGCGATTGATCCATCCATGCAGTAGTCCTGTTTGAAATTATATTTATATAGCTCACATGATAACAAAAATATAAAAAAATTAAGCCCCCCCCCCCCCATGGCCCCAAAAGAATATTGTAAAATGGTTCTTTTATTTCAGAAACCTACTTATTATGTCACATACAAACTGAAATGTCGCTATTTGTATTAGATTAATTTCCAGCTACCCATGAAATATTTGAAATTATATTGATATAGCTCCTAGTAGAAAAAAGAATAATTTAGGGCCCCCGGCCCCAAAAGGAATATTTCAAAATTGACAACCTAATTGAGAAACCTTTGCGGGTGTGCGCACACCTAATTGAGAAACCTTTGCGGGTGTGCGCACACCAAAGTTTTATCGCAATCGGATGAATGGTATTGGAACCTATACGGAAATTATATTTAGCCCATAAAAGGAAATAAAAGAGAATTTAAGTCATTTTCATGGCTTTTATTATTATTATTTTTATTGTTAGTGGTTTATATAGCGCGGTATCCCATCTATTTTTCACAACTGTAATTTCAATGGATTTAAATATATTGTCATCAAAGTAAAAATGTACACACCCTATGTATGTACATAAGAAGGTAAATTATTTATCAAATTCCTTCTGAGGCGTACTTTGTGCTGCGCTGGGAAAAAAATGAAAGTATCGTATTACCCCCCCCCCCCACCCCCACAATATAAAAAAAAAAGGGAAAAAAAAAAAAATATCCTATTTCCCCCCCCCCCCCCCAACCTCAGAATTTAAAAAAAAAATTAATAAAATCATCCACGGGATTGTAACCCCCTTACTTGCATCTGTTATTTCAAGAACCAATGCCAAAATATTCTTCCATCGGTGCGACTTATGTCGACATCTGGGACTCGAACTCTAACTGTGTCACCCTTTTTAACGGCAGGGTATTTTGAATTAGTGGTTTGAAGCATTTTTCAGCTTTTTAAAAAAAAAATTGCTTGCTGAAATCTCCCCAATTGTTAATATGTCGTTTTTTTCACAATGGGATCCTCTGAGGAATCTTCATAACCTACATACGTGCGTTTTTCATGACCGGAGGCTTGAATATCAGATGGCTGGGAGACATTTATTTCTCTTTCGTTGTTATGGAAATCAGAACTTGGTTCAGTTAACGAAGTTGAAGGTTGAACATAACTATCAATAGAAGATAGTTCCTCGTTGTGTTGACTTGGACCTAGCTCCGCTAAAGAATTTGACCCTGGTTCATTTTGCAGTGCACCTTCTTCTGGTTGTTGTTCGTCCGTCGAAGTCGACTAAGACCATCGGGTCATCCAAAGGTTAGGTTTTAGACCGATCCGTGCTCGGAATAATCTTTGGCACCACGGGCAGGGGATAGTTGCTTCAGAAGGTGACCTAATGTGGCTCTTTCGAGCAAGCCTGCATGTTTCAGCTGTGGATATCCTATTAGCTTCATGAGATTTAGCCCCCTTCTTGACAGAAGCTCTCCACCTGGCTCTGTCCTGGGCTGTATGCACACATTGAGTAGGGTTTATGGTTTAGTGCCACTTTCAGTGAGTCTTTTTAAAGATTTTTTTGACCTCCTTGGGAGCGCTTGCCTATCGTGAGTTCTCCGAAGAATATCTGTTTCGGGAGCCGGTGGTCTTCCATACGGGCTACGTGTCCCATCCAACGGAGCTGAGACTGCATCAGAGTGGTGAAGATACTAGGTAGGTTCGCTCTATAGAGGACCTCGGTGTCGGGGACTTTGTCTTGCCACCTGATGCCGAGGAGTTTCATGAGGCAGGTTGTGTGAAAATGATTCAGTTTCTTTTCGTGACGCTGGTAGACTGTCCACGTTTCACATCCGTAGAGCAGTGTCGGGAGGACTGCTACGCTATAGACCTTGATATTCGTTGCTCGTCTGATACCTCTCCTGTCCCAAACAATGCTGCGGAGCCTGCCAAATATGGGACTTTTGCGAGTATGCCATTCATTTCATCATCCATGACGACAGATCTAGAGAGGGTGCTGCCCAAGTAAGTAAATTTATCAACCGGGTTGAGACGCTGTCCACTATTGATGATGTTGGTTTCAACGCAGGCACCTTCTTCTACAGACTGTTAATTACACCATACGCACGTTGCCAAATTGCTGTCAATTAATTAAAGTGACCAGAGAAATAATAGCAGTATTTATAATGACCGGGCAATGTAATAAATTATCCTAGATTGTCGTAGACAAATGCAAAATTATTAAATTGCCGTATTTTATCGGTCATTATTGATAATGACCAAGCATTATTAAAACTGCCTTGAATAATCAAATTGACCGTAACATATATAATGAATACTTTGGCGTTTACCATTTTAATTAAAAAAGTTATTTAAATTTCTTAAAATTGTATTTTAAAGTACCACGGTAAGAGAACATTTTGCCTCGGGGGTTGCGGGGTTCAGTGGGGGGGGGGGGTTAAAATTCATACAAAATAGAACCTTGAGTGCCCTTTACGCCGAAGCACCATTTTATAATTGACGCCGAGCTTTATAGACTTACCTGTCTCCCCAGTTCAAAAGTGACGCCGAGCTTTATAGACTTACCTGTCTCCCCAGTTCAAAAGTGACGCCGAGCTTTATAGACTTACCTGTCTCCCCAGTTCAAAAGTGACGCCGAGCTTTATAGACTTACCTGTCTCCCCAGTTCAAAAGTGACGCCGAGCTTTATAGACTTACCTGTCTCCCCAGTTCAAAAGTGACGCCGAGCTTTATAGACTTACCTGTCTCCCCAGTTCAAAAGTGACGCCGAGCTTTATAGACTTACCTGTCTCCCCAATTCAAAAGTGACGTCGAGCGAAGGTTTGTCTTTATATGGGGTCAAAAGTTTTAGATGCTTCATCCAGTTTCCTGATTGGAATAAAGTTCAATTATTAATGGCTATTGACAAGTCCTGACACGTTCTACAGGCTTTGGCTACTTACGTTTGACTTAACAAGCTTAAGAACTTCCGCTCTACCTACACGACCAAGTCCGAGTATGGAGTAATTTCTTTAGAGGCCAGATGATTTATGATACAATTGATAACTGGAACAATGTGTAACCGTGGATGTTTATAAAAAAAAATATGATACATCATATTGACATACGTTAATAGTTCTCAGACAAGCAGGGAGGGATCTAGATAAAAGGAAGGTTTCATTGCTAGGTGATTATTTAAACATTAAAGGACAGTTGACGGGAGAAATTAGAAGTCAAGGCAGCACAATGGATGCGGATATTGATATCTATGTGTGCGATGTTGCTAATGTATAAATAGAGGTATGTTATATGCGACGTAACTATATTATGATACGTATAATTATGCGCTACGTTCTTGCATTATTATTATGTGGAAAAAGTACGAACGTCAGGGATTCCCAACCCTTTTTGATTCGCGGAGTCCTTTTTAAAATAAATATCAATGGCAGGCCGTTAAGCCTAGGCTAAGTCGTACGTTTTATTGGTGTTATTTTATTTCCTGGAGTGACTCAGGATATAATACGCATTTATTCAGTTGAACCTGGTTTCGTTGATGTAATGTATGTAAACGATTAAATTTCCGTGAAGATATGCCAGACGTTGACCTAAATGTTTGACCCACAGAGAGCAAATACATCATTTTGAGAAGTGTAACCATTCACCCTGTTGTTTGTGGGGAACACAGAGATGTTAGCGAAATCTATGTATTATTCAACTGTCACTGCCAATGTTGACATATAATTGTCATAAAATATGAATCATCAAGTCCAATTGACACCACTGTATTTAAGCGAAACGGTATTCACTTAATAAATAATAATTTAAACCAGGCCTGCACAACTCAAAATGTATGGTGGGCAGTAATACTTTATGAAAAACTTGTGCGGGCCACAAGATAACAGGACAGGGACAAAAGCTACTAAGAAAATAATAGTAATAAAGAATATTTCGTTACTTCGCGGGCCGCCAAGTGAGTATTGGCGGGCTGCATTTTGTGCTCTATTCAAAAATATCAGCAACAGTACAGGATAAATATGTAAATATACTTTCACTTCTTATTTTGACTACTTATCACTGCTCTCGACCCTCACACTTATTTTACAAATTATTAGTTAGAAGAATCACACACAACCTCTCAGTATGGTAGCCTTTGGCCTTTTTCGTTATATCGATACATTTGCGTGTCTCAATTGATTTCATTTAATATCAAATCAGCATGTAGAAAGTCGTACAGTTACATAAGATATGCCAGAAGTTGACTAAACTGATAAAGTGATCATATATATCACTTACCTTAGAAGATGTGCTGGGATGTGACCTGACGTTGACTAAACTGATACAGTAATCATATATACCACTTACCTAGAAGATGTGCTGGGATGTGACCAGAGGATGGAAACTTGTCATTCCCGTAGATTTGTTTGAGTTTTCTCCTGGCGTAGGCGTGCAGCTGTTCATACAGTGGACGGAGCTGGTCAAACAATGCTCTGACGTCATCCTCAAAGGTTGGAGTTTCATACCAGGAGCGCCAGTAGGCACCAGTGTCAGCGTGACCTATTTAAAATTCATATGAAAAAGAAAAATGTTTTATTTAAAAATCTCGGTGCTTTAAACAGTTTTTAGAAACAACAAATACTTCGAGTTAGTATCTGGATAGTGCTAAAAAGAGTTTATAACCCTTGCGATTGAGCATGGGGGAAATAATATGTAAAATCAAAATGGGAGCTATTAGTACCTAAGATCCTCACAGCTTCATTGCTCAGCTCAACGTACTCAGCATACATTGCCTTTATCTTGTCGCCAGTTGCCACCGATCCAACCCATAGTGCCAGGAATATTTTATAGTACATATCTGATGCTGTGTCGTTGGACTCTGTTAACAAAGACGTGTATTGAAAATAGATGGATTCTCCTTACCTCCGTGGCATATTTTAACATAACTTGAACAGCTTACTCTTAGAAGACTCCCCCTAAACTCAAGCATGTATTCTAACGTTAACATGGCTAATGTCACAGAAACAAGATAACGATTTAATAGGGAGTTAAGTAATGTGAGAATGATCACTTATTATATATAGAATAGGAGCACTTGAAAAAGACGAACCAATAATAGAAGAACAAAGATGGAGTCGAAATGATGGCGGTTATTAAGTCAATATTATGTTATAAGATTTGGGCATAGTATAGTGATACCTTTATCAAGTGGAGAAGTTACCGCGAAGCTTTATTATGAGTGTTTTTGGGATCAGTTCAAGTATTAACTATTTATGAATATTATTGTGATCGTGTGTTTTAGCATATAATAAACTTTAATATAGTATAGTCACTATTCACTTGGTTCCACAACGCCTCTGTTGATATAGATCATAACTAGATTGTAATTGTTAGTGATTGTAGATGTGACACAGACAGAGTTTATTATATGTGATATATCCTAGTTTGTATTTCAACATACCACACGAGCGGAGATATATCCTAGTTTGTATTTCAACATACCACACGAGCTGCGATATATCCTAGTTTGTATTTCAACATACCACACGAGCAGTGATATATCCTAGTTTGTATTTCAACATACCACACGAGCGATGATATATCCTAGTTTGTATTTCAACATACCACACAAGCGGCGAATATATCCTAGTTTGTATTTCAACATACCACACGAGCGGTAATATAACATAGTGTGTATTAAAACATACCACGCAACTTATAATATCTCCCAATTGGTATGTCCACCGCGCGACTTAGTCTTATAAGTTACCAACTCAATATCTTGCCAGACTGTCTGTTTATTTAATTCTATTCCAACCAGCTTGCTACACGATAGAATTTCCAAAGTTCTTATGCCATACCTGGTTTCAGACCAAGACTTTCCAGCAACGGGAAAGTTACAGAAGCTGTACTGCAAATAGTCATCATATCACTCACAAGTTGATAGAACTGTGAAAATAAAAAAAGATTGAGAAACGGTTATAAAACCAATGGGAAGAGGTCATTAAAATAAAAACAATGAACTAATAACTAAATTAGTAGACAGGGACTAAGACAAGTATAAGCAACACAACAGTTCGAGTTTTGGAAATGTTACAAGGTTGTGACAATAGGTCAGAGAATGTTATTGTGACAAGAGGTCAGGGAACATCATTGTGACAAAATGCCAGTGACAAAAGGCCAAGGAACATAACAGTAACAAGAGGCCAAGGAATGTCATTGTTATAAAAGGTCAGATAATGTTATTGTAGCAAGAGTTCAGATGATTTCATTATGACCGGAGGCCAGATAATGTCATTATGACCGGAGGCCAGATAATGTCATTGTGACAAGTGGCCGGATCATGTCATTGTGACAAGAGGTCAGATAAAGTCATTGTGACAAAAGGCCAGTTAAGGTCATTGGGACAAGAGGGCAGATGTCATCAGTACAAGAGGCCAGATAATTTCATTGTGACAAGAGGCCAGATAGGTCATTGGGACAAATGGCCAGATGAGGTCATTGGGACAAGATGCCAGATACTTTCATTGTGACAATAAGCCATATCAGGTCAATGGGACAAGAGGCCAGATAATGTCATTGTGACAAGACGCCAGATAAGGTCATTGGGACAAGCGGCCAGATAATTTCATTGTGACAAGAGGCCAGATAAGGTCATTGGGACAAGAGGTCAGATAATTTCATTGTGATAAGAGGCCGGATACTGTCATCGGAAAAAGAGGCAAGATAATTTATTGTGACAAGAGGCCAGATAAGGTCCTTGGGACAAGAGGCCAGATAAGGTCATTAGGACAAGAGGCCAGATAACGTCATTGGGACAAGAGGCCAGATAAGGTCATTGATACAAGAGGCCAGATAAGGTCATTGGGACAAGAGGCCAGATAATGTCATTGTCACAAGTGACCAGACAATTTCATTGGGACAAGTGGCCCTGGAATATCACGAGGACGAAGCCGTAACGCAAGAAAAAAAACCAGGTTGAGATGTAGAGTTTGGGTAAAAAGTTGGGCAGGATCTTCAGCATACATGTTTATGAAATACAATATCAGATTTTTTTAGTTATCATTTAGGTTTGATTTTGACGGAACCAGTTTCTCTAGTATTAATTCAAGAAATCCTCTCTAGAATTAATTCAAGAAATTCTTCTCTAGCATTATTTCTAGAGATCTTGTTTCTACATAAAGTATCCTTACATAAGCCAGTTTGGTTTCATTGTTCTGTGCACTTGTTCCAATGTCCATGATCTTATTGAAGAGTCTCTTGTCTCGTGGACTCATCACGGCCAGGTTGTATTTTGTAGCATTTATATAAGATTCCCTGTTGAACTTGGCGTTCACAAGGTTTTGATTCAACTGAAATCAAAATTATGTTTTCACTAACACCTTGTGTTAAGGTGATCAAGGCTCTCTATCAGAAATAATTAAATAAAAAAAAACAAACCTAATTCGATTTCACTGCAGTTCATTATTTATATACTGTAAGAGAAAATAGAAGTAATTAAATATTAACTTGTTTGATCTAATAATTATTTCCAACCTATTGAAATTGAGTAATTAGATCAAAACTATTGCGATTGAGTAATTATATCTAAACTATTGTAATTAAGTACTTCTATCTAAATAACCATTATGCACAGCGTCTTTTCCTTGGGAAGATAATGTTTCCTAAATTTGAAAAATTTAAACATCATTTATTGAGTTCAAGATTAAAATCTGAAAACGTTTTCTCATCAATACAATCGAAATGAGTGATCGAAAGATCGATTCAAATCGAGTGCCATTTATTTTAATATATGAATAAATGAGATAAAGTTCTCAGAGGAAGGCAGTAAGATAAAGGAATATGGGAACTAAAGGTGCATAGATTGTTCTCGTTTCTTTCACGTCACGGACTCAATCATTAAATAACATTTCACTGACGTATTTTGAAGCTGGTAGAACAATTCAAGCCAATTCATTTCTCCAAACTCATATCATGTGTTTCATATAAATCGTATACAAACTTGGACGAGTTACCATACGTTGTTGGTTTTGTTCAGTTATGTCGGTATTGTAATTCCAGGCCGCTTCCGCAGACGTGTGCCAGATCGCCTCCGCCTGGCTGTTGTAGTGGTCAAGAAATGCCTTGATCTCGGCCGAGTCGGTGATCAAACTTTGGCGTTCCAACCCGGAATTGACCAGCGTGAACAGTGTCATGACAAGAATGACTTTCTTTGACATCTTGTCTAATCTTTCAGCGAGCTGGAAACAAACAGATTAAAAATGTAGTAAAACTTTAAACATCAACACTTAATGTTTTGTTAGATGGATTCTCTGGCTCTCACAGATTAATTTAATATTGAAAAAAAAAGTGATTCTAAAACAAATCCATGCTAATCCCGTGAAGGCCAGCATTAGTTAGGGCAGACCGCCAAAATGACGATTGAATTTAATATGTAATATTAAATTATAATGAAAAATTAGGTACATCGAACAGTTTGAGAATAACTATAAAGATGATGCAATATCAGTTCGGGTACAGTCGAGATGAGAGAGAAAGAGAGAGAGAGAGAGACAGAGAGAGAGAGAGAGAGAGAGAGAGAGAGAAAGAGAGAAAGAGAGAGTGAGAGAGAGAGAGAGAATGAGAGAAAGAGAGTGTGAGAGAGAGAGAAACATAGTGAGTGTGAGAGAGAGACCATTAGAATTTTTGTGTGTCTGAGTTGAAAAAATCCCCCGAACACGAGTTCTAGCAGACTGTTGGACTGCATATTTATCACAACACTCACAGCTCACAATGTCTTTCCATCCAACACTCCCAGCTCACAATGTCTTTCCATCCAACACTCCCAGCTCACAATGTCTTTCCATCCAACACTCCCAGCTCACAATGTCTTTCCATCCAACACTCTCAGCTCACAATGTCTTTCCATCCAACACTCCCAGCTCACAATGTCTTTCCATACAACACTCCCAGCTCACAATGTCTTTCCATCCAACACTCCCAGCTCACACTGTCTTTCCATCCAACACTCCCAGCTCACAATGTCTTTCCATCCAACACTCCCAGCTCACAATGTCTTTCCATCCAACAATCCCAACACACAATGTCTTTCCATCCAACACTCCCAGCTCACAATGTCTTTCCATCCAACACTCCCAGCTCACAATGCCTTTCCATCCAACACTCCCATCTCACAATGCCTTTCCATCCAACACTCCCAGCTCACAGTGTCTTTCCATCCAACACTCCCAGCTCACAAAGTCTTTCCATCCAACACTCCCAGCTCACACTGTTTTTCCATCCAACACTCCCAGCTCACAAAGTCTTTCGATCCAACACTCCCAGCTCACAATGCCTTTCCATCCAACACTTCCAGCTCACAAAGTCTTTCCATCCAACACTCCCAGCTCACAATGCCTTTCCATCCAACACTCCCATCTCACAATGCCTTTCCATCCAACACTCCCAGCTCACAGTGTCTTTCCATCCAACACTCCCCGCTCACAAAGTCTTTCGATCCAACACTCCCAGCTCACAATGCCTTTCCATCCAACACTTTCAGCTCACAAAGTCTTTCCATCCAACACTCCCAGCTCACAATGCCTTTCCATCCAACCCTCCCCGCTCACTAAAGTCTTTCCATCCAACACTCCCAGCTCACAATGCCTTTCCATCCAACACTTCCAGCTCACAATGTCTTTCCATCCAACACTCCCAGCTCACAATGCCTTTCCATCCAACACTCCCAGCTCACAATGTCTTTCCATCCAACACTCCCAGCTCACAATGTCTTTCCATCCAACACTCCCAGCTCACAATGTCTTTCCATCCAACACTCCCAGCTCACAATGTCTTTCCATCCAACACTCCCAGCTCAGAATGCCTTTCCATCCAACACTTCCAGCTCACAAAGTCTTTCCATCCAACACTCTCAGCTCACAATGTCTTTCCATCCAACACTCCCAGCTCACAATGTCTTTCCATCCAACACTTCCAGCTCACAATGTCTTTCCATCCAACACTTCCAGCTCACAATGTCTTTCCATCCAACACTTCCAGCTCACAATGTCTTTCCATCCAACACTCCCAGCTCACAATGTCTTTCCATCCAACACTTCCAGCTCACAATGTCTTTCCATCCAACACTCCCAGCTCACAATGTCTTTCCATCCACAGATTTTCACCTTTTATTGGGGACGCTTAATTTAAATTAAAATAATCTTAAAAATTTTAGGCAATATCAATCACTAATGAGCTTCTTACTCCCTTTTTAAACTACATTTGGTGTGCTCCCCTTTTTGACCTACATTTGTCGTGCCCTCTTTTTGACCTACATTTGGCGTGCTCCCCTTTTTGACTTACATTTGGTGTGCTCCCCTTTTTGACCTACATTCGGTGTGCTCCACTTTTGACCTAAATTTGGCGTGTTACCCTTTGTGACATACATTTGGCGTGCTCCCTTTTTGACCTACAATTGGTTTGCTCCTCCATTTGACCTACATTTGTTTTTTTCCAAAGCCGCAAGATCATTTTGCAGTATAACACTAAACGTCGTGAACAATGCAATGGTGGGATTCATTTGTGTGATGTGTTGGTGGGTTGAATTGGTAGGTTCATTGGTGGTTTGCAATAGTTAGTTGCATTGGTAGGTTTCATTGGTAAGTTTCATTGGTAGGTTTCATTGGTAGGTTTCATTGGTAAGTTTCATTGGTAGGTTTCATTGGTAGGTTTCATTGGTAAGTTTAATTGGTGGGAGGCAATGAGGGGGTTGCTTGGGTAGCTTTTATTGGTGGGTTGCATTGGTTGGTTGCACTGGTTGGATGCATTGGTGGGTTTATATTATGTGAAGGCTTATTAGATTTTTTTTATGCAAGGAAGAGAATAATATAGAAAAGAATCGGACACTCAGAAAGAAACTTTGGCGTGGCCGGGTACGTCAGATTTTGTACGGCACAGGTTATCTTGATGTTTTAAATGGTCAAACTAAAGCGCTTACAAATTTCACCTCCGACATTTCATTTTAAAGTTGAACTGTGTCTATTTCAAAGAAATGGAAGTCAGTTCCAGGTATTTTATTGATAAAGATTGAGTAAAAACAATATAAAAAAAATATATTAAAAAATAAAAAAAGAATAAAATTAAAAAATAGCACTTAGATTTGTAGTATCCGTGGGCAGCAAATGATTTGTGACAGAAAATAAGTGGGTGAGAGATTAAATAGGGATGAGGGAAAGAAAAGAGGAGCAGTAAGTCCACTGCGATAGGTCAGGACGTGGAGAGGCAGGGCTAGTTTCAAGCTCTGAAAAGAGACATGACGTTCATACAATGTGGCGTAAATGTGCCATAAGTCAGGATAATTCACCCGCCTGGGTGTGTTCGTGCTAGCCACGATCGCATATATTGAAAAGTCCGTCCTTCCCTGGTGGTCACTACTATTGAAGTGTTTGGAGACGGGACACGGTTTATCTTGTGTAATGTTATGGAGGTGTGTGGTACACTTGTCAGAGAGTCGGTGTTCAGTCACCCCTATGTATGTCATCTGACAGCGGGTGCAGACAATTGCGTAGATAACATTGCGGCTTGTACAAAGGAAACCGTCGCGTATTTGAAAACTGCCCTTAGGGAGACGTATGTGATAAGTCTGGACGACAAAAGGGCAAGTGTTGCAACGGCTGCGCACAAGGAGGTCTCTCAGATTTTTATCCAGTCTGAAATCAAAGAGAGGTGGGGAAGAGAAAATTTCTCGTATGTCTGCGAGTAGTATAGAACGGTTTTTAAGATAAGCACGTTTAGCTATAAGATTGTTAGGGTGATAAGTGATAATAAGTTTTGTCCTGTCAACATAGTCGCTCGGATGTGGCCTGAAGGCATCAGCACGGTTAATTACGGGAATGAAACGCATGTGCTCCCAGATCTGTTAAGCCTGTAACGTTGGCATCTGTAGCACAGACGTATAATTGGTTCTAAGATCAGAGAAAGTGCATTCTAGACACATAACGGGTCCTTTTATTTCAGAAGTCAGAAAATTAACTATGTTAAAATTAGGGATCTTATCACCGGTTTTATCGGCAAAGTGGCTTAGCGCTTTATGGAGATTCGGTTGAAACCGGTAAACGGTTTTTACAATCTAGTAGAATCACACAGGAACGCATGGGAACGGCGTTCTTGTACTTATTTCATAGATATAAATGCATATTTTGTGTGTGTGTGTGGGGGGGGACTTTGGCGAGTTCTTCGACGATTTTCTTTAACAGGACCCGCCCCTGTTCCTCATAGCCGTGTCAGATCGTGTCAAAGCGTGTCAAATCTTGTCACACCGTGTCAGGTCGATATGATGTATTATAAGACCGTAAGTGGCCAGTTCCATTGTGACGCAAGCTTTGGTACCCTTAAGGGGGTAGGGAGAGGGCATGGAGAGGTCAGTTAACCCCCGGGAGCCATTTTATGGCCGGATTTTGTGTCCCCTTCATAGATTTTAAATAACTTTTTTTTTTAATGTTTATTCCCTTTACAGTGGAATTTTCGTTAAATCTGGGGTGAAAAAAAATTTGGGGGGGGGGGGGGGGGGGGGGGGGGGGTGGAGGGCAACACTATGGGAGACTGCGATCTGCAAACTTCTTAAGATCGAACACAGTTAAGATCTATCACAGTTAAGATCTATCACAGTTAAGATCTATCACAGTTAAGATCTATCACAGTTAAGATATATCACAGTTAAGATCTATCACAGTTAAGATCTATCACAGTTAAGATCTATCCCAGTTAAGATCTATCACAGTTAAGATCTATCACAGTTAAGATCTATCACAGTTAAGATCTATCACAGAGTGTACGCTTGCAATAACAGGGCGATCACTTTTCCCAGCCATAGAATCCAATCACAACCGGGTTTTAACACCGGTCAGCTGATATCGATACATTAAGTAGTATAGTCAGATGCACCAATCATTCGAGTGTAGCCTAAAAATTGGATGCATTATGCATCATATTTATTTTAAAATAACATATGTTATTTATGAATTAATATAAAAATACACTTGCTATAGGTGTAATATTTTATTTATTGAAAACTCCCCCACCCCCAACATTTTAAATAATTATATAAATAATTAAATCAAAGTTTTTCTGAGAATCAACAAAGAAGTAGCTATGAGAAGTTGTTTGTATTTCTAACATCAATGGTCTTTCACAAAGGTTTATTTCTTTTATCAGTGGTTCTCAAACGTTTAACGGCACTGACCCTTCGCATTATAAACCAATCTCTAGGGCCTCACTGTGAGCCCCCCCTCCCCCCCCCACACTAACATTGGTTAAAATTCAGGACAGTGGTTAGCACTTTTTAATTAAGTTTAAAAAAAGATTTTGTTCTGTAATTAAATAAGTAATAAAATGATTAAATTAATTCATCATTGCAAAAGTTTTGTTAAGTAGGATTATATTTAAGCACTTAGCAAAACTAACCAACATCTATATCGCTCAATTTTGCTTACTTTAAAAAAAAATGATCTTGCCTCTTTGCCTGCAGTAAAGTAAGTGTTATGTAGACGACGTGTTTACGTCATGTACTCTAGCAGACACAAAACAAGCTCGAGATCGCCTTTAAGGTGTGGCTAGCTAAAAATAGTCTCTTGGCCTAGTTTACTACCAACTAAATAAAATCAATAGTCTGTTTATTCTTAGAACCTTGTAGAATTATGTGGAACGTATGAGAGACGATTACAATGCGTAATCCTTCTGGAGAAATCTTAGAAACTGGCCATACCGGTATATAAATCCGGGGAAGTGAAAGACAGCGGGACGCTAGCTTTTATTTTTACTATACGGGACGACACGAGTGTGTTATTCTTGATAGATCCATGTTTACTTATTTAAATGTAAGAATGCCTATTCATCGTTGTACCCTATTTTTTGGCACATTGTAATTTTCATAAACTTTTGTACCGGTACAAGAAACACAATACTCTGTAAGTTAATGATTTTAATTATATATATTTTTATTGTGTAATTTATTAGTAAATTAATAAAACGTATAAATTGTAGTTAGCACTATTTTGAGTGTCGTATTCTTTTGCTATTGTATTTCCCGTATGGTAGTGTATTTTGTTATGCACTGTTTAGAACGAGCCATAAACTTAAAATAAGAGATTAATTTCTCCCTACAGACAGCAGAGCGTAACCCTAAGACAGAAAACTTCTTACCTACTTTTCACATGCAGCGGATCGCCTCACCTTCGGTACGCCTCTGCCCTGAAGACAAGAAATAGAACAATCTCCATACACAGAAAGGGAATCAGTCTTGATATGTTTCAATCCAAATATGCTACAATTCACAATTTCTCCAATTACCCGCGGTAAATATAATTTTATGCAATGTTCACAATTTGTTTTGAAAACTGGTATTTGTCAATGTTACACCAGTGTTCTTTCATATCATCAACAAGCCGAACTTGCGATAACCTTCTTCCGTTCACCGACAAATACGTCTTTCATAAGTCTCTTTGCACAACTCTCGCACTTTCCATACTATTTACAGTTATCCCTTAATGGCAAATTCACAAGCTACAAGAAGATAACTGACACTAAACGACAGGAAGATATCACAGGATTGCTGACACAACGCGACAGGAAGATATCACAGGATTGCTGACACAACACGACAGGAAGATATCACAGGATAGCTGACACAACACGACAGGAAGATATCACAGGATTGCTGACACAACACGACAGGAAGATATCACAGGATTAGCTGACACATCACGACAGGAAGATATCACAGGATTGCTGACACAACGCGACAGTAAGATATCACAGGATTGCTGACACAACACGACAGGAAGATATCACAGGATTGCTGACACAACGCGACAGGAAGATATCACAGGATAGCTGACACAACACGACAGGAAGATATCACAGGATTGCTGACACAATGCGACAGGAAGATACCACAGGATTGCTGACACAAGTCCACAACATGAATTCACGACATTCACTTTCTCCTGAGAAACTCGAACAATCTCGAAGAGTAAACAAAAGAATTACTTAACGCTGTCACGAGCCAAGATCGCCTTCTCGTTGTCACAGTATATATCGTTCAGGAACAGGGTGTCACAGTAGCAGGTTGTCACCACACTATATATCCTTCAGGAACAGGGTGTCGCCGTAGCAGGTTGTCACCACACTATATGTCCTTCAGGAACAGGATGTCACCGTAGCCGGTTGTCACCACACTATATGTCCTTCAGGAACAGGGTGTCGCCGTAGCAGGTTGTCACCACACTATATATCCTTCAAGAACAGGGTGTCACCGTAGCAGGTTGTCACCAGAACAAGGTGTCAGTATACGGCAGCCTGTCACCACAGTATATATCGATCTGACATGTTTATTATCACTCATTCTTCAACCAATCCTAATTAACCCTTAGAATGATACTCGGTCTCATAACTCATCTAAGCTATCTGACCATTCTAAAAATATACGCCCCCCTCCTAAAACACACGCTGACGAAACAAATTATAACATTGCTTCGTCGTCCCCCATCAACGTCCTTGACATCGCTTGTCACACACACACACAAACTGTAAACATACTCTTTACAAAACACTATTTCCTAAATTATTCTAAACGGACATAAACCAATTGACGCGCCTCTCCGCTGATCTTCGTAATCATAACATCCAAACATTGACATGTTGGGACGTATTCAATCAGTCAACAACTGATAAATGCACAATTCGAAATTCCGTACATTGCACATTTCAACCCAGGCCACTGTTCTGAGGGGTCAATCAAAGCGCATTTCAACCCAGGCCACTGTTCTGAGGTGTCAATCAAAGCGCATTAGTAAACCGGAGCCCGTCGCTGAAATACTTCCCACATTCAATCACAAACTTCTCCCTCTGTCCCCCCCCCTCCCGGCCTCCACCAATTAAAAAAAAACAACAAAAACAAACAACAACCCAAAAGAAACAGCCAACAACCCCCCCCCCCCCAAAAAAAAAAGAAAAAAAGAACAACAACACAAAAACAAAACAACAACTAAAAACTACCAGCAAAACCCACAGCATTCACCAGCCGCACTATTCATGTCAAGTAACAAAGTATGATTCTCACAACAAACTCCTGTGACGAACTAAAAATTTTCGGCTCCTAACATAGTACAACATAAATTGGATTCTTCCCCCCGAGCAACAATATTTTCTTAGTAAAATTGTCAATAAAATACACAAACACAAAAGAGCGAACTGGGTCCGTCTCCTCGAAATAAGCAAGTTTAAAAGTTAAAATACTTACAATGTGTGGTTAGTAAATTAATATTATGACTAACCCCATATTGAAAAACCAATGTAACACACCACGGTTAATGTGAACAAACAATGATAACAAGAACGCAATAACAGCCGTACCGATAGATTGATAATAACACTTATCAGATTTCATGTAGGCCATATACTTTTAGTTATGATGCAGTGTCCGTAATCTTACTAAACATCTGACAAAATAAAAAACGTAACTTATGCCATGAACATGGAAAAAAAACACCGAAATAACGAAACAAAACAAAAAGAAAAAGACAGAAATGGCTGAAAGCCCCACGTCGCTTCATGTGCATGTCCTAACTGTTTCTCTCCACTTGTGTTGTGTGCATTATTTTCCTTACGCAACCCTGGCGAACGTTTATGTCAATATGATGAATGATAAAAACGAAGCCCTCTCATAGCCACTCACTGACTCAAGCTAGGAGCACTCGCAGCTCACGGGGAATATACAAGTAAACATTTGATCACCTCCATCCATTTCATGGAGCTCACCCTCACCACTGAACGGGGACACTGCCTCCATACACCAGGGCGCAACCACCTCCACACACCTAGAGGACTACCACCTCCACACATCACGGGGACTACCACCTCCGCACATCACGGGGACTACCACCTCCACACACCACGGGGGTAAACACCTGCACACACCCAGAGGACTACCACCTCCACACATCACGGGGACTACCACCTCCACACACCACGGGGGTAAACACCTGCACACACCCAGAGGACTACCACCACCACACATCACGGGGACTACCACCTCCACACAACACGGGGGTAAACACCTGCACACACCCAGAGGACTACCACCTCCACACATCACGGGGACCACTACCTCCACACATCACGGGGACCACTACCTCCACACATCACATCACTACCACCTCAACACACACGGGGACAATCACCTCCCCACACCACGGGTACAATAACCTTCCCCACACCACGGGGACAATCACCTCCACACACACGGGGACAATCACCTCCCTACACCACGGGGACAACCATCTCCACACATCATGTGGACAACCACCTACATACATCACGGGGGAAACCACCTCCACACATCACGGTGAACTCACCTTCCACTACAGGCAGCTACCAACTCACCTGCTCAAAGCTCCATCTTAGTTCATTATGAAAGTAATATACATTAAAACTGAACCGATGATATCTGATTTAAGTTATCTACGGTCACAATAATCGATAAATCTTTTAGTGCGTCGTCGTGATTCACGAAGGAGAAGCATACAGACAGGGTGGCCCCAAAAAATGTGAAAACATCGCTTTATAGTCAGAAGCATACAGACAGGGTGGCCCCAAAAAATGTGAAAACATCGCTTTATAGTCAGAAGCATACATACAGGGTGGCCCCAAAATGTGAGCACATGTCTTTATAGTCAAAAGCATACAGACAGGGTGGCCCCAAAAGGTGAAAACATTGCTTTATAGTCAGAAGCATAAAGACAGGGTGGCCCCAAAATGTGAAAACATGGCTTTATAGTCAGAAGCATACATGCAGGTTGGCCCCAAAATGTGAAAACATGGCTTTATAGTCAAAAGCATACAGACAGGGTGGCCCCAAATGTGAAAACATGGCTTTATAGTCAGAAGCATACATACAGGGTGGCCCCAAATGTGAAAACATGGCTTTATAGTCAGAAGCTTACAGACAGGGTGGCCCCAAATGTGAAAACATGGCTTTATAGTCAAAAGCATACAGACAGGGTGGCCCCAAAATGTGAAAACATGGCTTTATAGTCAGAAGCATACATACAGGGTGGCCCCAAAATGTGAGCACATGTCTTTATAGTCAAAAGCATACAGACAGGGTGGCCCCAAAAGGTGAAAACATTGCTTTATAGTCAGAAGCATACAGACAGGGTGGCCCCAAATGTGAAAACATGGCTTTATAGTCAAAAGCATACATACAGGGTGGCCCCAAAAAATGTGAAAACATGGCTTTATAGTCAGAAGCATACAGACAGGGTGGCCCCAAAATGTGAAAACATTGCTTTGTAGTCAGAAGCATACATACAGGGTGGCCCTAAATGTGAAAACATGGCTTTATAGTCAGAAGCATAGACAACACGCCAACGCTTATAAAAAGTCTTTGAGAAGCAGGGAGAGGTGGGGGTGGGGGAGCTAGATTGAACATGTTTTCTGACTAGCATAATAATTTTCTTACAACTGTCAATGACAAAACAGTAAATTAATTGAATTATTTAACCCTTTGTTACGAGATGTTCCCACATTTTCTAGGGCCACCCATTTATATACAGGAATCGATTTTTTTTTTTTTACGAAACGGTTGAAATGACGATGATTCTCAGCTAGTTCTATTTGCCAGGAAGGCTGATGTGTTTATCCAGCACGAATATTCCATTTGTAAAAAAATATAATTAATACATTGTTCGAGTTCAGTGTGTGAATAGAAGGCCGTTCTCTAAGAAAATGCCACGCGTTTGTAATGGCCTGATAATAATTACGCTTGGCTACAATTGTGGACGAACTTTTAATATTTCGAATGTAATAACTCATTTTTACTTTTAGAGGTTGATTACAATTGTTTATTTCAAAATGTAAGCTTTTTAAAAAAAAAAAAAATAATAAATTAAATTGTTTAACATCTAGCAATCTAGTTCTGCACTATTCAACTAAAATTGATTTTTCTTGTTAGCAGTGCTTTTATAATGACAAAAAGATTCGCCCAAGAGCAAGCCACGTGATCAATGCATACAAATATTACATCTAAATTTATTACATGTTTTTATTTATATTTTATAAAAAGTCAATTGATCTCCACCTTTTGTTCAAATTCAGATAAAGTTAAATGTAAAATCGAAAAGAATTATTACATATGAAGAAAGTCATTTATAAATGAACTGTGAGTGTAACTTAGGAACTTAAATTATTGTCCTGAACTTCACATTACCTATTAATTATTGCCCTGAACGTCAAAAAACCTTTTAAAATTATTGCCCTAAACGTTATATTACGTATTAAAATTATTGCCCTGAACGCTACAGAACCTATTAAATTAATTCCCTGGGCATTACATTACCTTTTAAAATTATTGCCCTGAAAGTCACCTGAGTTGCTTCCCTTACTTTTTCTTTTCACCCTATTGCTATAACTTGTTATGCACGGAGGTGGCCCATCTGCAAAATATATTGTGTCATTACATGTACGCTCAAGATTAAACCAAGTCCCCACTCCAAAAAAATTCGATTCCTTGTTGCAGCGTGGGACATCACAGACACGTGCCTCGTTTGCCCATAGGTTAATCCCGTACTACTTCAGACTGGACAATAGTTGAGATAAATTATTATTGGAAGATACAGGGCAAATCTTTCTAAAACAGACAAAAATGAATTTAAGGTCATAGATATGATTACTGATTTTCAATGCACACTAATAACTAAAGACGCCAAAAATTCTAATGCAAGAATACCTCAGCAAAAGTTCCTGCAAAGAATTTGGTGTCTTCAAAGTGTGCTTTTAAAGTTTAGCATTAAAGTATATCACCAAAAGTGTTCCATCAAATTGTGTCTTCAAATTGTCTTCAAAGTTTGCTTTTAGAGTGTAGCATTAAAGTATGTCACCAAATTGTGGCATCATAGTGCGTCACTAAAGTGTCATTAAAGTTCCTACACGTTCCTGCAAGAATACCTAGTCAAAACTCCTGCAAGAATTCTTCAAGAAAGTTCCTGCACCGTTGTAGATATCACATCTGTGAGCTAGACCTCCGCAGTCATCGTCATCACATAATACGAAACTAGATGTCAAAAATCTAGAAAAAATCTTTTGTCATTGACTAAAAGGCTTACAAAATATGTCTCCAGGTCTCATTGCAATAATAAGCAACTGTAGATTGATTTGATCAATTGAAATTTTAAATAAGAAATTTATAAGAATATGTTTTTAAACAAAGTAGAAATTCGGTGTAGCAATGTAAATAAATAAACCAATTGACTGGTAGATGAAACCCTGTCCTAAGTATATAGGTTTATAAAATTTCTTCAAGGCTGGTAGAGTGTCCAAGACACTACGGGTGTTAGGAAAAAAATGACATTGTTCACCTGACAAAGACACACAGGCTGATATATGGTAAGGTGCTAATGGGCATTAGAAAAACCTCATATAAGGCACACCGTCTGGTGTATGGAACTTAGTTCCTGGATCAAAGTGAGAAGGGGTGAGAGGTACAGGTGAAGATCTCCAAGTTCGTACACCTGGAGACATGTACAAAGGGGGTAGGGGTGGGGGTGAGTGTCCACATCGAGGATAAAAAAAAAGGGGTATGGGGTAAAAATGCAAAAAATATTTCTTCATGCAGCTTTCCATTTAACTTATAAAGCTTTTGATATAATTGTGCTTTTCCCTCTGCGAATTTAAACACCGAAGACGAATCACGTGCAGTTATTTTTGGAAACACGTGAATATTTTATTGCATCGATTTGTCTTTTGTCTAATTGAAATCGTATCTCGTCTGGAGGAGGATGGTTGATCAATTTGGGCATTTGGACTTGATTTGACTAAACCTAGCCACGTCAGGTGATATGGAAGTATATACTCTCTTTAGCAACGTCAGGTGATATGGAAGTATATACTCTCTTTAGCCACGTCAGGTGATATGGAATTATATACTCTCTTTAGCCACGTCAGGTGATATGGAATTATATACTCTCTTTAGCAACGTCAGGTGATATGGAATTATATACTTTCTTTAGCCACGTCAGGTGATATGGAATTATATACTCTCTTTAGCCACGTCAGGTGATATGGAATTATATACTCTCTTTAGCAACGTCAGGTGATATGGAATTATATACTCTCTTTAGCAACGTCAGGTGATATGGAAGTATATAACTCTTTACACGTTCACCCTCCAACGGGTATAAATACAAGTGAACGTACATGAAGAAGTACAAGTGAGCGTACATGAAGAAGTACAAGTGAACGTACATGAAGAAGTACAAGTGGACGTACATGAGAAAGTACAAGTGGACGTACATGAGGAAGTACAAGTGGACGTACACGAGGAAGTACAAGTGGACGTACATGAAGAAGTACAAGTGGACGTACATGAGGAAGTACAAGTGGACGTACATGAAGAAGTACAAGTGGACGTACATGAGGAAGTACAAGTGGACGTACATGAAGAAGTACAAGTGGACGTACATGAGGAAGTACAAGTGGACGTACATGAGGAAGTACAAGTGGACGTACATGAGGAAGTACAAGTGGACGTACATGAGGAAGTACAAGTGGACGTACATGAGGAAGTACAAGTGGACGTACATGAAGAAGTACAAGTGGACGTACATGAGGAAGTACAAGTGGACGTACATGAGGAAGTACACGTGGACGTTCAAGTGGACGTACAAGTGGACGTACAAGAGAAAGTACAAGTGGACGTACAAGAGAAAGTACAAGTGAACGTGGATGAGGAAGTACAAGTGAAAGTACATTAGGAAGTACAAGTTGACGTACAAGAAAAAGTACAAGTGAACGTACATGAGGAAGTACAAGTGAATGTACATGAGGAAGTACAAGTGAATGTACATGAGGAAGTACAAGTGAACGTACATGAGGAAGTACAAGTAGACGTACATGAGGAAGTACACTTGGACGTACATGATGAAGTACAAGTGAACGTACACGAGGAAGTGCAAGAGAACGCACAAGAGAGAGTAACATTGAGCGTACAGGAGAAAGTACAAGTGACCATGTTAAATGCAAATTGGATGGGACGTATGGGCCGAACAGTATTAAGTTATAGAGGGGAAATAGTTTGACCTAGGATAGCTCCTTTTTAGATATGCGCCTAGAGGAAGGCATGCAACTGGAGGCGTTGTCAAACGGCAAGAAATTAGGGGTACAGCAGATCCCCTCCCCAGGCTTCGTCCCCTATCTTCCTCTCATCGATAAATGAAACAAAAAATTGTTTTAGGTCTTATGAAATTATAATCTCTTTAAACCTTCCCCGCCCCTCACACACACAGAAGTATGTACAGGTGAACTTGATGTGTTTAATGTAATTTGGAGAGGGCTGGTAAGGATATCATTTTCATTGTGCGGGATGTTTCATTGTTTAAAAGTATACCCATGGGGAAAAAGCATACATTGAAAAAAAAAACTGATTATTTTGGTTTGTGTGCCTTAAATTTTTATATTTTCTCTCCCCTAAGCGTTAAAGCCAAGGTATTTATATGTCAATGACCTCATAACAAACTAGTTTGTTCACATGGGCATTGTTAACATTGTTGTGGTCACTGTTCTTACAAAATAGTTTTTTCACATGTACATTGTCAGCTCGTGGTCCCTGTTCTTACAATGCACTGACATTGTCATAGGCAACAGTGACGAGCTGCCCCTGGTCTTGTTCCATCGCGTTGAGTACATTCAGCTCCTATGAAATGTCAACAAGAAAAAGCCAAGTCCATGAGCCTTTTGGGATCACTTAGTACATGAACAATCACCCAATCTTTCTCCATGAAGGCTAGTAGGTTGGAGCAGGCAATATTTATGAATTATTTATGCGAAGGAAGATGCATTGTTAAGGAGAATCCTATTTTGAAAGTGACCAATTTGACAGGCTGGGAATTTCCCTCACTCGTAAACACTAGGGGCAATTTTAATAGGGATTATTTGATATCGTGTCAGATTGCTACGATTTAACACATCTATGTTTGTGCATTACCCACTAACTGACTTTTTAAACTTTACTCAAAAACACAATTTTTCCATGTTTATCTCATAAAATGCTTTAAAATAACAACTACAATTAGACTAGTCGGTGAGATTCGACTGAAACTGTCGGGGAAAGTCACACTATATATAAGAGAATGGGGAAATCGCGCGAGCTGAATTAACACTGAACTTTGCTGTCATGTATTGGGCCGCAAAATATGATCTTGCTGCCGCAATTGGCCCGCAGGCCGCGAGTTTGAGACCCCTGCCGTAGAGCCTAGACTACTCAGTACGGTTGAGTCAGTGGATTCGGTTTAGGATCAGACTAATCAAATGAACCAAGTGTAGGTTGGGCCCACTGGTGTAGCAGAGACGGCGCAGTGACCAGTGACCAGCGAGAGAGCTGTGTTTTGTGCCCCCCGTAAGAGTGTGTTAGAGTCTACACAAATCACGTCGTGGTGCGAGTGACCAGAGTCCGACCAGTGACCAGAGAGGGAGGCCAAACAAACAAGAGTGGTGTGTGGGCTTGTAACTGACCGCCTACAGAAGACGAGATCGCCAGTCGGAACATAGTATTTAATAATATTGGGCAGTATATCTCGATATCCTTTACATGTGTATAGTATATTTAATGTGTATGTAGCTAATTCTGTTTTATAATTAAATATTTATTTGTTTGCTGAACCACCTGTGTTTCTTAGTGTAGTGAGAGTATTAATAGAAGTCAGAGCCAATGAGAGTGTCTTTGAATGTTAGAGGGAGTGTGGAGTGAGATAAGTTAGAGTACTTAATTAAGAAATATAATCATACCCTAGGCATAGCCCTAAAGGTAGTACGAATCTAACGTAAAGCAAAACAGCGACGGGCACGACCAGAACCAGAAGGGAACCTATATAACAACACTTTAAAAAAAAAGCAAATGTCACTTTTGGGGGCTGCATAAAAAGAAGGTAAAAGATTAATAAAATAGTTGCTGTCAGTTCCACATGCATGTTGTCTGTAACGTAGCTAGTATTTCGTTATCATTGTGAAAAATCACAGGGTAATAAGGGGAAAGACTCCATTCAGATTAGCACAATATAAAATGATTAAAACAAAGTAGGGTTCAACCAGGAAAACTTCTGGATTTAGTTGCTGCCCACGGAGACTACTTCTAAGCTGGATTTAGTTGCTGCCCACGGAGACTACTTCTAAGCTGGATTTAGTTGCTGCCCACGGTGACTACTTCTAAGCTGGATTTAGTTGCTGCCCACGGAGACTACTTCTAAGCTGGATTTAGTTGCTGCCCACGGAGACTACTTCTAAGCTGGATTTAGTTGCTGCCCACGGAGACTACTTCTAAGCTGGATTTAGTTGCTGCCCACGGAGACTACTTCTAAGCTGGATTTAGTTGCTGCCCACGGAGACTACTTCTAAGCTGGATTTAGTTGCTGCCCACGGAGACTACTTCTAAGCTGGATTTAGTTGCTGCCCACGGAGACTACTTCTAAGCTGGATTTAGTTGCTGCCCACGGAGACTACTTCTAAGCTGGATTTAGTTGCTGCCCACGGAGACTANCCATCCATCCCTCCATCCATCCATCCTTCCATCCGTCCATCCATCCATCCGTCCATCCGTCCATCCATCCATCTGTCCATTCGTCCATCCATCCATCCATCCATCCATCCATCCATCCATCCATCCATCCATCCTTCCATCCGTCCATCCATCCGTCCATCCATCCATCCGTCCGTCCATCCGTCCGTCAATCCATCCATCCATCCATCCATCCATCCATCCATCCATCCATCCATCCATCCATTACTAACACCTAAGAAATGCTTTCTACAAACGTCTAGGTACAAATAGGCGCGTAATGGGACAATGAAAATTCCTTTGAGGACCAACATATTTGTTAAATACTAATCAAACTATAATTTTTATTAACTCTATATTTAGTAAAATAAAAATGCTATTAATAAATGAAATTTGAGTATTTTTCCTTTCAATTTCCGTTTAAAAAATATTTGAATTTGTTAATTATCAACGAGAAAATCTCAGCCTTCTCATTATTTCAAGTATTGTTTCCCTGCATTTAATTACGCCTTGTGTTGCCGGCTTCCGTGGTTAAGAAACCTTGTTATAAAAAATTCAGGAAGACACTTCACGATAGACTGGTTTTAAACTTTAATCAACTTAGAACTTAAGTTGTAACATATTGAATGATGGAAAGGCACTGGGCGTTTACATTAATGAGTTTAATTTCTTCAAAGCTGTCTTAAATCATTTAAAGAGAAACAAGAGAGTTTACAACAACCAGCGTGTTCATAGCCAGTATAATTGGGATTCGCAGTGTTATTTTTGTTAACGTTCTGGCGTAGTTGGACATGTGGGATGCCAGCCATAGTCAATGCCGTTCTCTTGTCGTAAATATTCTAGTAGAGGTTTGAAGTAGTCCATGAGAGGCTGGGCGTCCATTTTGTATTGTCCTGTGAGTAGATACATGGCTTCCGGCCAGGGCTTGGAGGAGCCAAGTTTTAACATGTTACTGGGGAAGATAAGAGAAAACAAAGTCAAAATACTCTGTAGTAATTATCTAAATTATTTTTTTAAATTGCAATATGAAACCAAGCCGAACTGTCGTAAACACAATATTACTTTATGTTAATTAGAACAATACAGACTACATGCAATGCATGGAATATGCAAATATTAGACTAAAATTACTAGCTAATTACAAATCCCAATAAAATGAAATAAATTGAAATTAAGGGCTATTTATATTTTTGAAGACTATATAAAATCCCTTTATTCGCAATTTCTTTCTGATATAGCATCCACGCAAATATCCATAATTTTTCAGATTTACTTCCATGATATAATAATAGGATCCTATCGACCTCCCTGCCACCAGGCGTGAGGAGGGAACTGTCACGAGTGAATGTATGTAACGAAATGGAGATATAGTGTAAATATGTTAGATATCAGTGACGTATAACTTTACGTCCATAATTATAATATAAAACGTATAATAAACCCCCACAAAATACGGCATATCAAGTGCAATAACAGGCTACCTCAACAAAGTTCCTGCAGGCTTACTGTTGTAGATATCACATCTATGAAGTGGACCTCTATAGCCAGCTTCGTCGCATAAGGCTTTATAGAATTGAAACTGGATGACATAACTCACAAAATACCTGTAAAATAATTGTATATAATAGAGAGATCGGAGGGCCGCAATCACAGGCGTATAGAACAATGTCTCAATAGTTAATAAACTAGTTTAGATTTATTTGATCAATGAACATTTTCTGTGGAAACGTTAGGGCAATATTTGAAAAAAATAAAATTCTTGTGGCAGTGTGCCCACCTATAGCAATACGGTGTGCACGACCTAGGTGTCACTGCCGTGGGTAACCCCAGGTGTCACTGCCGTGGGTAGCCCATGGTGTCACTGCTGTAGGTAGCCCCAGGTGTCACTGCTGTGGGTAACCCCAGGTGTCACTGCTGTAGGTAACCCCAGGTGTCACTGCTGTAGGTAACCCCAGGTGTCACTGCTGTGGGCAACCCCAGGTGTCATTGCTGTAGGTAATCCGAGGAATGTAAATCTAAATGTAGCACAAGCTTTTGTGCTGGGCCTTAAATTCTTTGTTTGGTCATCCACACGTGCGAAGGACCATCTCTTCCCGCGGTTGAACCGTGATCCATTCGTGACGCTGACGTCATCCCCCCCTCTTTATGTGCAATAAAACGCAGGTTTGATTTAACTCTATTATTTTGAACTGATAGTGGAATAATTGTCATACCTTGGATTAAATGTGAACCATTTGATGTCCAGAGTTACCCACCGTGTGTATTGCTAATTTTAAAGACATTTAATGATTGTCACTGTAAATAACTTTTATTACTTATGTATCTTTCACGACATTGTCATTTTTCTCCGGAATATGTCTTCCAGGCTGGCAGAAATTTTAAGATGCTACGGTCAATAGAAAGAAAAAAATAATGTCATTGTCACCTGATATAAGGCACGCCGGCTGCAATATGGTAATGAGCTCCTGGGTCAAAGTCAGATGAGTCGAGAGCTACAGGTGAAGATACTCCTTGGTACCTACACCTGGAGACAGGTACAAACTTAGAATTAACAATACTGTGGAATACGTTTAGTTTTCCCGAATGTTTCAAATGTTTATTTGTCAAATGTGTTACATGATTTTCTAGAAAAAATGCCAACATATTAACGTGATACCTGAGGTTCCACCATTGCTCATTGTACTTTTCAGGTGGGGTATCACCTCTAAACACACCCCAGCGCCATTGATCGATCAGGTAAGCAATGGGAAGAACAGAGATTTTTTCTAGTGCCATTCTCATCAGGAAATCGATGTCAGATTCTAGATTTAGAAAATGTAAAAAAATATTGTGGAGCTTATGTATTAAAAAAAAAAAAGCCAGTGATAATTTTTTTAGCCGCTGAGGGCCAAGGCGAAAACCGATTAAGTCTTGTGGCTTCATAATGTTTGCAGGGGTCCATATAGAGGTTCAAATCTGGTTAAGTTGGATGACTTAAAATGTTTCCTGGGTTGGGGGGGAGGGGGTCCATAAGAGAGGCATATCTAGTTAAGTTGGGTTAACTTATAATGTTTCCAGGGGGTCTCTAAGAGGCGCAACGGAAAGGGGGTGGCGGTAAGCCTCTTGGAAAGTTAATGCGCACATTCCTTTTTCTCAAACTCAGAATAATAAAGTGGAATGGCGTCAAGACACAGTCGACGTCACGACACAGCTTAAGACACGACACAGCACAAGTCCAGACACACGAGAAGTAACAACACTGACACAGAAGCGCTATATGATTGTCTAACAGTTTTTTACATTTATAATCTTAGCGCGTTCCCAGTTGTAGTGTATTAGAAACACATTTTAACAATAAACTACATTTTCAAGTGCCGTTAGGTTGTGATAATAGAGAAGCGCCTAAGGCTAAAATCCCAATAAAGGAAAGTCTTTAAATATAAATTATCTCCAACTTACCAGTATCATTGCTAACATTCGGAATGAGACCAATGGCGTGCATGTGTTCTTGTGTTTGCACTGAAAGGGAGATGACGTCACCGACAGCTTCATGAAATCCTATTTAAGAAACGCACCAAAAACACTATTATTCACCATCACAGTCGTACTTGGAAACATCATTTCCTGAATCTTTAAGCCACTTTCGTACAGCATCATGTGAAATCAAAAATAACTTAAATCGATTTGAGTAAACATTGACTATGACCTATATAGATTAAAATTTTGTATGACACACGAACACACAACACGACACCCGCACACACAGATGTCTAAATGCCATTTCAAGGTAAAGGTGCAGCAGTTTTTATCTCCAATTATGTGCTTGTAGATATTGTTTCGCCAAGTTGGCATCCATGATGACTTATCTTTAATGAGACATCCACCCCACGGTATTATCTGTGATTATTTAGCTTTAATGAGAGATCCACCTTACGATGGCATCAATGGTGACTTATTTTGAATGAGAGATCCACCTTATGGTGGCATATCTTTTTCCAATCCTAGAATGCTAACATTACGTTTTATATGTTTACTTTGTTCTAAATGGTGAAAGTCAGTTCATGATCTTTCAGTCTCAACTTCTAAATTGAGACCTATATTGATTTCCATTACATTAATGAAACCATCACAGTTACAGATTTCCAACACATTTTTACATAAACACATTTAAAATGACAAACACTATTGTAATTATGTCGACAGCTATTCAAAAAGTCGTTATTCTTTTAAGTTACAATGGATACCATGTCAAGATTTGCAACAAGGGATACATATTTTCTGTAGTAAAATAGACAATTATTTGGTGAGTTTAACATTGAAGGTGATGGCTTCATCACAAGTGATTGTACTTAATTTTCTGAAACGCATTGCAGTGTTTCTTTCAGACACTTTTCCCCGGGGGTGGGGGCATTTCAGATTTTAGAAATATTTCAGAAAGATGGGAGTCAAAGGAGATGACTCTTCAAACCAAAGTCAGAATTTTCAACACAAATTTTAAAACAGTCCTACTCAAAGCATGGAGAACAACAGCGAGCATGACGCAGAAAGTACATATCTTTATAAACACTTGTCTTAGAATGATTCTTACATACCATGATCATATTGCTGAAGACATCATAAGGAAAAGATGGAGGTGGATAGGGCACACTCTACGCAAACCCCCAGATAACATCACGGGACATTCGCTAACATAAAATCCACATGATAAAGAAAGATGGGAAGCCCTAAAATACACGGAGACGCGTGCTAGAGGCATACAAACAAAGTATGGGATAGACCTGGAAGCTATTGGAAAGGAAAGCACAGGGCCGAGATGAATGGAATATTCTTGTAGACTCCCCATGCCCCAGACGGGGTAAAAGGCATAAGTAAATAAGTTAGATGAATCTTGAGGGGTGGAGGGGTTTGAAGTGATTTAAAAATTATATCAAAATCAAGAGTACGGAGTATGGTTGAATTCAGTGTTTCTAATCTATTTTATGATCAGGGGAAGGACATTTTTAAGGATCTGGAGAGGCATTATGATGTCAGTACCATACATAAACGGAATTCACCCAAGTTGTCGCATGCTCCAGGATAATCATTTGGCTTAAGCTTGTATTCAACCCTATACTTAACATTGATCAGCGTGAGGGAAGCCGTGCGGACTTTGAGGGTGCTGAAGACAGTCGCGCAAATTCAAAATTGTTTTCGTCTGTTCGCATGCAGAGAGACTGTGGCTTATTCATATGAGAAGAACACAAAGTAAAATGTACAGACAGTGTGTTCCTGGTATCTTGAGCTCTGTTAGATTCAACATACCTGAATATGTATTATCATTTAGACAGTGTGTTACTGGTGTCTTGAGCTCTATTCGATAAAACATCTTTGAATATGTATTTTCATTTAGGTTAAGGGGAAATCACATCATGAAATGTGTAAAATCAATGTTGTTGATTGACATAGTAAACCTTATTTTTGTTGAATAAAAGCAGTGGGCGCAATAATTTTTTTTTTTTTTGTACCAGTTATGAAGTGCCTGGTACATATCAAGACCATATTAATTTACGAACGAATGTACGAACAACAGGCATAAAAATTGTGAAAAGGTAGAAACTCGTAAGACATTAAAAAAAGGAAAGATTTAAAGGAAATATGGTGTTAGGACAGAGCCCAACCCCAGCTTCCCAAAATTAGTAGGGCTTTCTCCACATCATCCATCCATCTAAGCATAGGTCTGCCTTTGAGCCTCTGTTGTTTCGGTGGTCCAACCTTTTCACCCCTCGGACATTTGGCACTCTTTCTTATTGTCCCGCCCCTTTTTTAAAATTTCTGCTTCTAGCGTAATTTCCTGACATAGACTAAACAATTCCTGGTTGGTTCGTATTCTCCATCCATATTCATCCTTTGTTGGTCAAAATATGTTCCAGATAACTTTTTTCTCCAACGTGTTTAATAGATGTTCTGTCGTTTTTTGTTAGGGTCCAAGTTTCACTTGAGTATGTTACAACTGGTCTGAATACAGCTTAATAAATAGTTTTCTTTGTTTTTCTTGTAATATTTTAATTTTGAGTATTTTTGACTACCAAGTCAATATTCTTTATTTTATTTCGGTTAATTAATTACGTTCATTTAATAAAGATCCTAAAAAACCACCCTTTAGGAAACAATTATGAATACACAGAACACTTGACTCAACTAAGACACGCCTCGTTCACTGCAGTTTAAAACTCACAGACTTAATGCACATTCCAACTTGACCTATTGATCTATGAAATAAAGAATTATATTCAATGTTCTACAAACATGCACACACCAGGGTTGGCTCCATTTCTGAAGCTGACCGGCTGGTCTTTGTACTGCAGGGCGTATTCGATATGACCCATCTCATGGTGGGCTGTCTCCAGATCCTGGGCTGTTATCAATGTGCACTGTTTGATTCTAGATATTAAAAGAAAGACATACTTCACAAGTATAATATTCTTTAATATATATTTCAAGGAGCATTTTTTTTTTAAAAATTCAGAATTTGCAATAACGCTTAATCCAAGAACAATATCTCCAGGTACAGCTATTTCAAGTACAATTATTCCAGGAACGGATATTTCAAGAACACTAACTTCAAGTACAATTATTCCAAATACAGTTATTTAAATTACAGTTATTCCAATTACAATTATTCCAAGTACAGTTATTTCAATTACAGCTATTCCAAGTACAATTAATGCAAATTCAGTTGTTTTTATTACAGTTATTTCAAGTACGTTTGTTCTAAAACTAATACCCAGTCACGGCCCCAATGTAGCTGTGAGTGTAAATGCAGTCGCCTTATTTTGATTCGGGAAATTCTTTAAAAAACTGTTCATGTAAGGGCATGAAAATTATAAAACTTTTCGTCAGCTTAAGGGACGACTTTAATCTTTAAATATGCTCAAATTAAATCCTTAAAATTGTTTAAACTTTTGTTTATTCTTAAAACTTAACTTTAAATTATTCTACTGTTACCTGAAATCTCTCTTGTTATAAAAGTCCCAGGCTGTTGGATGACACACAATTTTTCGGCCATCTTTAGGTTTCTCAAAAAGGGATTTGTTCCAGAATTTGTCTGGCATTTTCTTCATTCCTAGAGATTTGAAGAAATCTTCTGCTGTCTGAAATATCTTGATTGGCGTGTAATTCTGTGGAAACAAAGACAACAAAATCTGTGAGAGTAAATTGTTTCTTCCCGATTAACATTGACCACAACCTTATCTGCTGTAAGAACATTATAAGAGAACTTATAAAAATAAATTAAAAATTAACGGTGGTTTTCTGGTCAAATCAAATAAGACACAGTAGAATAACATGATTATGATAAATGTCTCACCTGTCTAACCATTTCATCCGTGACGTCAAGAGTGGGTTTACCTTTGTAGGGGGTCAGTTCTGTTACGAGTGCACTCCACTGCTGAGCCCACATGTCTCCTGATCACACGAAGCATTGTCAGAGTGAATGACTGAACGGGGCTAATTTCATTAATACAATTTTATATGTTTTTTAAGGGATTATAACAAAGTTAAGTTACTTTCACGATGATTTCAACAGATGACCACCACGATTAAATCTGACAATCTCAACATAACGTACGTCAACTTGCCCCTGATAAGATGTTCCAGCTGTGAGAGGAATGAGGAAGAAATGTCTTTGTGTTACCATCTCTTCCATTATTTCACGTTTCGATTCCAATCCATGACATTGACACCCCCACCCCCCCCCCCCCCGTTTTTTTACTGTCCTAGCCCTCCTCGCTGTCTTGATAAATAATTAAAAATGGGAGTCGCTTAGTCACTTCCTTGTTTGGTCACGTGATGTGAGTAAGCCATCACTAGGCTGCTACACACAACAAAAGATACTTCATCAGTGCTTCCCCAATGTTATGTTAATTAAAAATTTTACCCCCCCCGTTTTTTTACTGTCCTAGCCCTCCTCGCTGTCTTGATAAATAATTAAAATAATATGGCATCCTTCCGTCTTCGTGAGACGATGGAGTAGCTATATAGTTCTACACTTCGTCAATTAAAATAAATTGTTCTTATATTAGCTTGCTAGCCGGTAAACAATTGCTTTCAAAGGATTCTTCTTCTGGCAAACATTAAAAATTGCGCGCGCAAGGTCTCAAGAAGAAACTAACATTGAACTTGATGTGAAAATAAATTAACTGTGTAATTGCCAGCCTTTGTGCTTGAATCCAAGGTTTAACCTTCTTAATGCTGCTCTCACCGGTTGCGGTCTATCATTTCAAATCGTGCTATTGAAGGGTAATATTTCAATATACCTTTAGTTTTACCCCAATGCTAAGTATGAGAATCTTGGGAAGGTGAGATAGGGTGACGTTCAATATGCTCCACTCTATCAGTTCCGAAACTGAGTGTCAATTTAATAATCTGTTGGTCACCTTGTGTATCTTCGCCTTACCATAACTATATAGTTAAACTGATAAAAAACAGTTACTGAATATACTATACTTGATATTTAGAAGATGAGACCAGAAGTTTACCTAACTGCTTGGTACATTAAGTGTTTATAATATACGCCTTACCTAGAAGATGTGACCAGACGTTGAATAAACTGAAACAGTGATTATATATACCACTTACCCAGAAGATGTGCTGGGATGTGACCGGAAGATGGAAACTTGTCATTCCCGTAGATTTGTTTGAGTTTTCTCCTGGCGTAGGCGTGGAGCTGTTCATACAGTGGACGGATCTGATCAAACAATGCTCTGACGTCATCTTCAAAGGTTGGAGTTTCATACCAGGAGCGCCAGTAGGCACCAGTGTCAGCGTGACCTGTTAAAATTTAGAGTAAGTTCGAATAATTTAAAAAAGAATGTTAAAATACTCATTTACCACACCATTCACCTTAAAAAATACTCATTTACAAAACAAATCACCTCAGAAAATCGTGTGATTAATTTTTGTAGATATTACCATTAGTTAAAACCTTTATTTATGCTTAGTTAATTTATTTATAATTTTAACATGTTCAAACACTGTACCTGGATGAATCAGCTAGATTTTGCCATCTCAATGTATTGTCTTAATAATTAAAATGAGTAACTTATGCAATAACAAATGGCATGTTAAATTGATTTCGTTGAAAGCAGCACAGTAAAAATGTTTGTTTCTTCTACATTAGATGTTTATACAAATGAATGATCATTTTATTTCTCAACAATGTAAAAACCTACCAAGTATTTTCACAGCTTCGTTGCTTAATTCCACATATTCGGCAAACAAGTTTTTCATCTTGCCGCCAGTTTCAGCTCTCCACCCTGACCAAGCGGCCAGAAGTTCAGCGTAGTTCCGTGACTTCGCCAAAATGTGAGTGAGATCTGATAGAAAATCGATTTTTTATAATCCTTAAATGGATAATTGTTTTTAAAAAGAACATTGACCGGCATAATTTTGGATCCTCAAATATTAGACTTGTTTCTAGGTTGTTTTTTTTAGACCCGCTGACCCTAAAATGAGACCTATGAGCAGTAATTTGTTAAAATATATATTTAACAAATTTAATTTTAAATTATGAAACATAGTAAAAAATATTTAATTTAAGGAAAAGTGTGTTGCATGAAAATGTTTTAATTTAACTTTTTTTTTTCAAAGTTCAGATTATCTGGAAAGTTTTAATTATTATTCTATAAAAATGGAGCTCCTTTTGTAGACTTCTTCTTAAGTTAAGATCTTCCATGATATTCGCGAAAAAGATTACTCCAACAAAAATGTTCATTGACGTCTGACTGCCATTGCATATATTTGTCATGGTGACATTTTTCATTTAACATTTCAAGCCTAATGCTCCCTGGACAGCAATCTGAGTGCAAGCAATAATAAATGACTAGGCCACGATTCAATGTCATTCATTGATATTTTTCTAAACTTTGGAAAATAAACAATTCCAGCTTTTAGCTTCTGTGTGTAGAGTTCCTTTTGGATTGACATTGAAATCTTTACTCCAAGCATTTACAAACTGTCTTGTCACTTTGGTCTAGAGTAATAAATAATTTGGTGTAGAATGATTCTATTTTGTTTTACTAAAGCTTCGTTGATTACATTTGTCTTTCGGCCACCACATTTTCCCCCGGAGTCCAATCTAATCTTGCAACGTTTTCAATTTTGACTCTTCTAAATTATCATTTTCAGGTTTGCAAAAATCACCGAACCGTGTTTTTAGTAGTTTATCTTTTCCAAGACTTAAGACACGGTGTTGTATTTCTCTTTCATCCTCGTGTTTTTACCGATTGTAAGAGAAACACATGTGTAACTATTCATTAAAAGAACACTTTACAAACTTCTTGAACAGTCGATGAAAACAACGCCTCACACTTGGGTTAATAAGATGAAATACCAATGCACTTTAGAAGATTTCTGATGTAATTGCATGGTAGTAAGTTCTTGTCTTCGGTAACAAATGGAAGCAAATTCTTCTTACTCGTTCGATGAAATGTAATGTTTTTTCCAGATTGAAGTAGATTCTATTCCCTGCACAAGTTTTGCATCAAGTCAACTGTAACAAACAGCTAACAGGAGATTTGCAGTTCAATGGCTTCGTAACGTCTAGGGGTAATTATTAAAAAAATCAAAGATCTATATGACAATTGGTTCTTTACTGAATACACAGCGGGGCTTCTTTCATCCGAATTCTCTCTGCAGTAACAATACCACTCCCAAACCATGACATTTAATTGTCACAAAATACCAAGCACATAGCAAGAGCTACAAAACACCCACCCACAAGACACGAACACATTATTAACATATACGTAGCACCTTGATCTCCAACCTTGGCACCAAATAACCTTTACATGTTTTTTTTTCCAAACACATGACATATATCCTACATGCTGAACAATAAGATCTATATGTGCAGATATTTTGAACATATCAGACTGTGAAGCTTTGAAAATTAAAATATATATGGTAAAATAAAATATGATTTGCAAACTTAATAATTTGCAGTAAAATATTTAAATAAGGAAGATTTTAAAATTTGAAGTTAACAATTCGATGCCATTGCATCTTATTTAAATGAAGTGGATGAATGTGTTTATGCGCACACAAATAATTGGTTATTTAAATAAGAGGACACTCATTGTCTATTTAAATACCAATGGTTGTTGTGATGGCCCGATTAAGGAAAAGAGCCCTGAGATGGAAAGAATTAAATGTTTACAAATTCAACCATAGTTTAAATCTTAAGCTGTTACGGAAAATCTGATGTGAGTTTCGGAATCCGCGTCCAAAATAACACTATGAATAAACCTACAACTAAAACTCAAGGTGTCAAGTAAATGGTGTTTTTTGTATTTGTTTTGTTGTCCTGTGCTAAAATAAGATATCATCATTAACAACATCTTCAAACAACATTACTTAATTTGAAAACGCCAACACAAATGAAATGTCGTCACAATGTTATTGACATCATGCATAGAGTGAGAATGATAAAACCTTTTCTTTCTTTCGAATAGTGAGATCATTTATCATCTAAATCTTAATCGTAAAAAAATGGGTTTAATTTTTTTCTATATTCTTATAATTCATTGACTCTAATTTCCTCCCGTAATTCCCTCACCTGGAAATAGAGGTAACAGTTGACCAGAAGGCATAGTGACCTTAGCTGTGTGATAAATATCTTCCATATCGCTCTGGACTTTGTGTAGCTGAGGTAAAACAAAACCGGAATAAAATGTTGCGTTATATTCCTCAAATATAACCCTCTTTAATTCATGAAATACTTCTTTTTTGATGAAATATCTCATAAAATATCCCTTTAGAGTATAGAGAGCAATAATTTGAACTGGCACATAGCAGAAGGGAAATAACAGTGGCAGTGTAATTTGGAGTAACATAGAGAGGGTAGGGGTGAGGAGAAACATAGCTATGACAATTTGTATGAGGGGTGTGTGTTAAATGCACTATGTTATGCCGAGAAGTTAAGTTATGTTAAGGGTGATAAAGTAGGGGACTAGGGAACAAAGACTATTGAAATGAGTGGGCCTAGGAGGGATATAAGCCTAAAAATAGTGCAGAGAATGGTTTGGTGCCGACGGTATGGAAGTAGTAAAGTCTAGGCTTAGATTTAAGAGTCGTATGGAAAAGCTTTGGTGAGATGCTGGTTGAGATGGTAGGTGAGATGGTGGGTGAGATGGTAGGTGAGATGATGGATCAGACGGTGGATGAGATGGATGAGATGGATGAGATGGATGAGATGGTGGTTAAGGGTGGTGGGTGAGATACTGGGTGAGATGGTTGGTGTTACGATAGGCGTCCTTGTTGACATTGCGAAACTCGTGCATGGACGCTGGGTGACCCCAAGTTTGGCAAAGCGAAGGGGCCTCGCTTAATTACAAATTGTCTCCCTTGACCTTGATTACAAATAAATACAGTCTATAGTCTGTATAAGTAGAATTCTTTAGACTGTACGAGATTGACCCAGCTAGGGATACAATGCTGAACCCCTTTCTGGAAAAGTATCTAAAAAAGACCAAAAATACACCTATCGACATAAAGAGAAATAATCTGATAGAAGGATAGAGCTATTATGATACGAGATGGACAGTGATTTGTACTGATGCTAATTTTTTTACAATAATATTTCCTCTGTGTGTGTGTGTATGTGCTCCTTCTTCAACATTGTACTGTAAGTCAACAGCCTTAGTTTTATGCTTTTTGATTTTGTAATTTTGCGATTGGCATAGATGGACTGGCTGGAAACGAAGAAGAGGTAGCCAGGCGATGCAGAGCTAAGTGCAGAAAAAGAGAGGAATGGAAGAGGATAGTTTTCATGTCATCTGTGGTGCCTGACAGGTCCTAGGACTTCGTGATGTGATAATGATTATGATGATGAATTTGAAATAAACTTAATAAATAACCATTTGCTATGAGCCCTTGTTTGGGGATCGTTTCTTTATTACTAATTGTTTATTACGTTATAATTAATTAATGGTATCGTCCTTTGTTATGTACTCTTTGACCCGAGCCACGAGTAAAATAAAAGATTATTTTCTCTACATTATAGCGATACGTAAATAAATTGGGTGCTCGAACTTGGGATATATGAATTAACAGTTTCTTATTGCCACCAATAACAGATTGGGTAATCGTCTTGAGATAATTTGAATCCATAACTTTTATCTTATTACACCAATAATAAATTGAGGGTTTGTGGATTTGACCCCAAATTTACTTTAATACACCCAGACTTAATTGAGTTCACGATATTATTTTACGATATCCATAACAGAGCTAATTACAATTGTTTTAAATTACATTTTTTATAAGTTCATTAAGCTTGAGCATTTATAAAACTTACTGATACTTTGACAGTGTCAATATGGATTTTGATGTTAACAACCCATCAGTAGAGGCATTAGACAAAAGTTCTAGAAAGGAGCAATTTTTCATTGCTAAAGATGTAGGAATAAGTGTAGCTCATTCTGCATTAAAAAGACCATACGAGATGTGATCATCGTCCTCTTAGTGGATGAGGATATGTTGTCTGACGATGAACTAACCTCAGTTACACAACCAAATGATCCTAGTGTGGAGCTCCAACTGAATCTAAAACAAATGGAGCTAGATTCTCAGTGAGAAAAAAAAATGGAGAGCAAAAACAAATAGAGCTTGATGATCTGAGAGAAAAAAGAGGAAACATATAGGAAATTTTAGAAAATGGAGCTAGAGGCACAGACAGAGCTACAAATGAAATTAAAAGAACAGGTAATAATGGCCAACAAATCAGCAGTGGAAAATAGACTCTCGGCTCCTAACAGTCAAGTTTCTGATGCAATTAAATATTTGCGATATTAATAACTAAATTTTCAGAAAAGGAGTGTTGACCAATATTTTGCACAGTTTGAAATAACTGCTCAAATGTTAAAAATGAAAATATTTGGGCTACCTTACTGCAGCCTGCTCTAACTGACAGGACAGCCGTAGTTTTTGTGTCCTTGCGTGGGGACTATAATCTTGTAAAATTCTTAATACCAAAGGCCTATAAATTTGTCCCCGAAGTCCACCGTAAAAAGTTTAGGGAGATGTAAAAACGCGACTGCCAAACTCATGTCGATTGTCTCCGGGATAAGGAAGGACTGCTGGATAAGTGGCTACACGGAAAGAACACCGAAAAAGACTTCAAAAAGTTCAAGAATCTCATTCTGATGGAGGAGTTCAAGAATTGTGTGCGTGAAGAGGTACGAACACCTATAGCAGACCATGGCGAAGGTGATTGGCATACGGCAGCATTGTTAGCTGATGATTTCACCATCTCACATTAACTCTCAAAGAACCCATTTGACACACTAGAGCAACATAATCAACTTATAGCGAACCTTAAAAAAAAATCATATAAGCTCTGTACATAAGAAACAAATTCAAAAGACACATGAGCCACCTGAGGTATTTGTTTACGACCTTTCAAAAGTTTTGGTATGAACTGGGTGAGTTAGCGGGTGAGATGACGCGGGATGGTGGGTGGGTTGGTGGGTGGGTGGGTTGGTGGGTGAGTGGGTTGGTGAGTGGGTGGGTGAGTGAGTGGGTGGGTGAGATGGTGGATGCGGATTGTGCGGGATGGTGGGTGGGTTAGTGGGTGAGATGGTGGATGGGGATGATGCTGGATGGTGGGTGGGTTGATGAGTAAGATGGTGGATGGGGATGGTGGGTGGGTTGATGGGTGGGTTGGTGGGTGGGTTGGTGGGGGGAGATGGTGGATGGGGATGGTGTGGGATGGTGTGTGAGTTGGTGGGAGAGATGGTGGATTGTGATGGTGCGAGATGGTGGGTGGGCTGGTGGGTGTGATGGTGGATGGTGCAAGATGGTGGGTGGGGATGGTGGGTGGGTTGATGGGTGGGTTGGTGGGAGAGATGATGGAGTGTGATGGTGCGAGATGGTGGGTGGGCTGGTGGGTGTGATGGTGGATGGTGCAAGATGGTGGGTGGGGATGGTGGGTGGGTTGATGGGTGGGTTGGTGGGAGAGATGATGGATTGTGATGGTGCGAGATGGTGGGTGGGCTGGTGGGTGTGATGGTGGATGGTGCAAGATGGTGGGTGGGCTGATGGGTGAGATGTTGCGTGAGATGGTGCTTAAGATGTTGCGTGAGATGGTGCGTGCGATGGTGCGTGAGATGGTGGGTGAGATAGTGGTTGAGGTGATGGGTGAATGGGGAGAGAGATGCGAGGTGAGTAAACCATGTACAGTTAAATCCATTTGGAAGGATGCAGTCGATGCACTAAAGAAACCTTACTTCAGATTTGCCACGAGTTGTAAACCAGAATACCAATAATTTATTTAACAAGGCTATGCAATTAACACACAGGTACGCATCTTTTACATTTACTCACATAAGCGAGTTTGGTTTCATTGGTCTGTGCATCTGTTCCAATGTCCATGATCTTAATAAAGAGTCTCCTTTTTTCGGGAGTCATCACGGTCAGGTTAAATCTTGTAGCATTTCTATAGGCTTCCTGGGAGAACTTGGCAAGAAGAAGCTTTTCGTCCAGCTGATAAATAAATAGCACAGATTTATTGATTAAATCGGACTCATAAGAGCAATATTTCAGCAGGAAAATAGGAAACCCCATGTAGTGTACTATACATGTAGGAATTTATTTTTTTATCACTTTAATCTGTTAGGAACTGCATATTCTATTCGAAATTGTTTTTATAAGAAGGGTTTTTTTAAAATAAAAAAAAGCTTGTACTAATACTCATTATAATTAATTCTTTGTTAATTAAATAAATTTACTACCTTAGATTAATCAAAATTAAAAAATAAATAAAATTTGAATAATTTGTTAGCAATTGTATATTTTCAACATGAATGCAGTCTCATAGAAAAACACAAATTATCTTACAGTTCAAGAAATCTTTTAAAAGAAGAAAAATACTGTTTAGTCTGAAAATACAAAATTGTTTCCAAGTTTTCTCCCTTAGCGTTAGTTCCAGATATACGACATGTATTTTACGATTAAATTAATAATGATGTAGAATGACCTTGGAAAACAATGCAATACATACGTTCTTGTCTATCTAGGTTATCTGTTTCACTCGATAAAAGGAAAAGTGACTTTCAACGAAGTAGGATTATTTACGTATAAAGCGAATGTTTCCTAGATACTCTTTGTAGCATTATGATATTTGATGTTAAATTTGCAGTCGAGTGAAAAGCACTATTTCGTTTTAGAATAGTGACCCATAGATATAAATATAGATAAGGAGAAACTACAAGAGCAGACATTTTTTGAGGGAAGAAAGCAGCTGGAGAAGATTTGATGTCAAGTTATTCTCTAAAAGAAATGAATGTATTATGACTGAACTGCATTTAATCCTCATTCTGTTATACATCAGATATGAACCTTCTTCTCTTTCTATGTTTTAAAGGCCCACGATCAATGTAGTGATCATTCTGGCTCCTATAAATATTATTAACTTTGCAGGGTTGGCATTCGAAACAAAGGAACTTCTAGAACAGCGGTTCTGAACCTATGGGTCCCGACCCCTTTGGGTTCGAATGACCATTTCCCAGGGGTGGCCTAATGCCATCAGAAAACACTAACAATTATGAAGTAGCAACGAAAATAATTTTGTGTTTGGGTCGGCAAACATGAGGGACTCTATTAAAGGGTCGCAGGATTGGGAAGGTTGAGAATTACTGCTCTTAGAGCCTTTTAACGAACATAAAATTTAAGCAGCATGAAAAAAAAAAAAAAAAAAACAAAAACAAAAAACAACCAAACAAAACAAAACAACAACAAGAACCACAACTCCACAAATGTGTAGCAGTAAATTTTGTGTTTGGGTCGGCAAACATGAGGGACTCTATTAAAGGGTCGCAGGATTGGGAAGGTTGAGAATTACTGCTCTTAGAGCCTTTTAACGAACAAAAAATTTAAGCAGCATGAAAAAAAAAAAAAAAAAAACAAAAACAAAAAACAACCAAACAAAACAAAACAACAACAAGAACCACAACTCCACAAATGTGTAGCAGTTTAAAATAAATCCATCTCTTTTAAAAACAAATTCATCAACACTTTTGTAAACCTTTCAATCCCCGATCCCATCTCGATCCCGGAGGTAACACAATCAGATCCTGTTTCCGGATGGGATTCCGTTTTTGATATTTCCCGGTATCCGGAGGTATCCTGACCCTGTTTGGATCCCGATCCCGGCTGAATCATGTTTAAATGGGGATCCCAATCCCGGTGGATCCCGATCCTTGTGGGTTCCCGATACCAGTTGATCCCGATCCTGGTTGGATCCCGATCCAGGTGTGATCAGGATATCAGTAAGTTCCCGATCCCGTTGGTATTCCAATACCGATGGGATCCCGATTCCGCAGTATTCTGATCCCGGTGGCTTCCCGATCCCGTCGGTATCAGAATCCGATTCTAGTGGGATCCTAATCCCGGTTTGATCCCTATCGCTTCAGGATTAAGATACCAGTGGGATCCCGATTCTTGTGGGTTTCCGATCCCGTCGGGATCCCATTTTCCCGGTGTGATCGCGATTCCGGTTGTTTCATAATCCCGGTGTGATCCCTTATTCCGCTGGGATCTCGATACTGGTTCCCGTTTCCCGGTGGGGTGCTGATCCCGGTGGTATGCCATTTTCATGTGCCTAATTTGATCCCGTTACTCGATGGGATCGCGTTACCTTTGGGTTCCATTTACTCGTTCTATTTTATGATCCTGTACCTTGTTGGGATCATGTTGCCAAGAAAATATTGTTCCCGGTAGGATTATAAAGGGAAAATTCAAAGAAATCCCCATGAAAGTATAGGAATTACTAGAAATAAACTAACATTTTAATAAGCTTTTAGATCCCATTATACATCCCGTTCGAACAATATAGAACCTTCTGGAACATTCTAGATTAAAAATAATATCCTTTTCAAAATGTGTAATAAATTATTTTTCTACGTAATCATTTTTCGAATACGAAAAATTATATAACTAAATGCACTTCTATAACTATAATATAGTTAAGTTGAAAGAGAGACCCCAGAAGAAGCCCGTTTCATAATTGTACCGAATTTGTTTTGCCTGGGACAGGAGCCTATAAAAATCAGTCAGATAAATTATAGAGTTAAATGTTAAAATTTCTCCCCTTAAAATCGGTTTAAAAATAGAAAGTTCGATAACTCTAAAAAATAACATAATTTCGAGTTTATTTTAGTAAAACTTTAAGTATTGTTATTATCAATTACAAATAAATTTAAAGAAACAACAAAGGAACTATTTAAGCATTTTATCTGAATTAAAAATTTATCAAACCAAAATTTAATCGTAAAATTATGATCTAAGTATTACCTCGTTATCATATTATGTTTTTAGTGCGTTGTTAGTGCTTTGTTAATATTACGAAATAAAAATAAAATTAATTTTTATCTAAATAACACGCAAATGACGTCATAGCACGAATCGCCTATGTTCACCAAAATTCTAAATTTTAAAAAAATTTAATAACCACGCGTAGCAAAATTGATAATGTAGTTCCCCTTCTTAAAAGTATAATTAATAAATATAATTGATAGCTTTTTATATTGTTAATAAAACACACAAATTTATTTTTTTTATTTTTAACATTTAATAAGTTTTATCTTTTTTATTTCCTAATATATACTTTTATTAAATCTATAACGTAATAAAAAATTAACCTTTAAATATACTTCTAATAAGAAAATGCCGTTTAAGTCAGCAAAGACCAGCGAAACTCCATAGTCACAGCATTCATTATTCTATTTTATAACTCATCCAAATAAGAACTAATGAAGAATTAATGGACTTAAATACGGTGGAAGATTTTATTAATTTTATTGAAATCTGGAAGCGGGTTTGCCATTTAGGCCCGGGCAGCACAAGATACTTCTCAAAATAAGGAATGAATTTGATAAATAATTAACCTTCTCAGGTACATACATATCGGTTGGTAGGAAATAGGATGTGTACATTTTTTTTGATGAAAATATATCTAAATCCTTTGGTATTGCATTCGTGAAAAACATGTTTTACATTGTCTTTTTACAAATATCGATCTGTTCATTTTTCCCCGGGCAGCACAAGATCCGTCTCAAAATAAAGGAATGAATTTGATAAAAAAAAATAACCTTCTTGGGTACATACCTATCGGAGGTAGGAAATAGGATGAGTATATTTTTACGTGGATGACAATATATTAAAATCCTATGGTATTACATTTGGGAAACAAAGGGATGTTACCTTATTTATTATTTTTTTTTTTACAAAGAAACACATTTAGAAAATCAACGGCGCTAACAAAAGGTTAGTGTATTTTTTAAAGTATCCCCCCCAAAAATGAAAACCCAATCATTTAACGCACTTGAAAATTTCATTTTGAAAAATTGATGGGTTAATATTTTATTAAAAAAAAAAAGGAAAATATATTTTTGTTTTTACTTTGTGAAAGTAAAGTGGGTGTGTATTTTTATGAGATTAACATTAAAAAAAGACATTCAAGTCTGTTATAGACGTGAAAAACGGTTGTGAGATTTTTCTGCAGATAAACGAATTCTTTGTTTTACTATTTTCTGATAAGGCGTAATTAAAAAAAAATCAACAAGAAGGCAAATGTGTTTTTAAATTTTTGATGAAGAAAGAAGTATATCACATTCCTTTAATATAAAATATTTTAAAATCATACTTAGAGTTTTTATTGTAAATTTAAGATTATAATTTTAACAATTTTTAGAGAAAGAAAGTTTGAATTCAAGGGCACGAAAAGAGAAAAATCTAAAGTAATTCTCTAGCGTAGAAATCATCCCTCAATTAACTTCTTTAGTGAAAAAAGTGATATATTTAGTGCTAATTTAGATTGGGTATTTTAAGGTGATGTTTAGAGGGGAACATGTAGATTAGGGGCCTGAAAGGGAGTAAGGTAAGCGTATTATTGGTGGCAGATAAATGCCTCTCAAAACTTAATGATGTTAGAAACGTAATTATAATTACACAGGTACTTCTTTTTAAAGTTAGGAAGTGTGATGATGCTTTGCAATAGCAGGTAGAAACTATCGCAAAGGACCTACCATTATTATCCCAATAACATAGGATCATTTATTCTAGTATACAATATATAGGATATTGATATTGGAATTTTTGGACTTCGTAATATTACAGTTGTTAGAAATAATTATTAATAGTGTGGAGAGTTCGGACCACGACGACGCCGGCGGCGTCTGACCAGGGATTACCGGCCGTCTGACCAGGTACAGCCGGCGCCATCTGACAAGGGATCACGATCGACGGATCAAGCGCTGGGGGCGGTACCGGCCATCTGACCAGGGCATTTCCCTGGGAAGACTGGTTGGCGCCAATTGAGGAAAAGGGGCGGCGCGAGTACAGACCTGGGAAGGGAACTCTCTGAACCAGGGAATTATAAATAGGGACCTCTGGACGGGACGAGACAGAAGGCGGCCGGGACAGAGAAGCAGAGTCAGGGAGAACTCTGACGGTAGAGGAAGAGGGCAGTCAGAGTTGTGAGATGAGAGAAAGTATAAGCGAAGTGTCAGCCTAATAAAGAACAATATTATAATCATCAGATGTTATCGCCTGAGTTGTTTCCTTAGTGAATGCCAGATATAGAAGAAGGTTAGCAGAGAGCAAGCAAGGTTTCCTTACAATAGTTAACCCAGTAACTGATTGTCATTGCGGTTTCCGCTGTGGTAAAAACAACGTAATGACTGTAACAGTTATATCAGTAAATGAACAAAGGCTAAACTGTTCCCGACCCTCTAAATACGGGGTTTTAACATCATTAGACCCACTGCGGGTGCTCGAATACATAGGCCTACTGTCCATACGTACAATAATTTACATTTTAATTGTACTACAGGTTGTATAACCGAATCACGTAAAAGAGTGCGCGGTACATCCTTTTCAACGTCTCGATCAACTTTCAAAGGAATCAAACGTGCTGTGTTGGATAGAAACTGCGACAGTCTGAAGCCGCGAAAGTCAAAGCACGAGGTTGCAGAGGGACGACTGTAGACTAAACAAACAATTACGAGATTTACTTGACATAATACACTTTTAGACTTGGTAACTAAAGTTGTTTGAGACTTACCAAGATCTTCAGATTGTAATCTGTCATGTTCGTGTTGTAGGTCCAAGCAACTTCTGCTTCTCTGGAGGTGACAACCTGTGCCTGTCTGTTGAAGTTGTCCAGAAAGGCCTGAAACTCTGTAGGGTCACTAATACTTTGACCTTTGACCCCAAAGAGGGAAGAGACGGCCACTGTCATGTAAAAAAGCGTCATCTTAAACATTCCTGGATGTTCACTGAAACAGAGCCAGAAAACGGTGAGAAGAAACATTTGAAATATTTGTTCAATGCTGTGTATAGCACCATTATGTCGGTATGTGATAATGGCCTCAAACCTGCTATAAACCTTAACCACCATCCACCCATTTAGTAATCAATTTATCCAACCATCCATTCATCTATACATCGTCCGTCTATCTATTTGTCTGTAACTTTATATTTTTTTCTAAAGTAGGCCTATTTGTCCATTCGTAAACCAATCAATATACTTGTTTCTCCATCTCAGTCTTCTATCTAAATTTTTCAACGTAAATGGAACGAGTTTCCTTCATATTAATTTACAGCAAACAAAAAAGTCAACCACAATAACCATGGAAGCGGGTAAAACCTATCAGGACCTGTGATCTTACACCAAGAAAATGGACTAGCCATGCAATAATGAAATAGATCTCTGCGTGATTCTTGGAGTGATCAAATGGTTGCATAATGATGTAGTTTTTGTTACCTAGATTTGTTGTAAGTTAAAGAAAACATTCGATCTTTCAAGGTTGTTATTATCTTACGTAATGAGGAGCTTCTCTCTCATCGGGCGCCATCCCAGGTGGCTGATATGAGAACAAACGCCCCCATGTATTAAGTTTACATTAGAAGTAAATGACCAGGATGGACCACGTCATCGACTGCAGTCGCTACAAAGTAACCAAAAGTTAGGGACATGAGTTACCTGTACCGAAAACAAAGGCAGATACGCCGAGAGCTGTAAGGGGCATTTTTCATCACCCATGAGCTCCACAAGACGGTTGTGTGCAGAGAAAAGACCCTGACATGTAAATAAAATTATTCTAACGCTAAACAGCAGTCAGAAAATTGAACAGAACATAATGGATGTTGACAAATACCTGGACAAATTCCTGGACAAAGACCTGAACAAATTATTGGACAAATACCTGGACAAATACCTGGACAAGTACCTGGATAAAGACATGGAAAAAGTCCTGGACAAAGACCTTGACAAAACGCCATCAAGAAAAAATCAATAAATTTCAGCCCTGAGAAGAGAGGACTCTTCTTCTCCAAGAAGAGCTATGAAGCCTTGTGGCCAAACCCAGGCTATCCTGGAAGCCCCAAGCCAAACATCATCCTTTCTAATGAAACAGACATAGGCACGTGGAACGTCAGAACCATGTATGAAACAGGGAAAGCAGCGCAGGTGGCCGCAGAAATATGATCTTACAAACTTACACTGCTTGCATCTGTGAAAAAAGATGAATACAAGCTGGACAAACAACTTGGGCCTCTGGGGAAATGCTAATGTACTCGGGGCATGAGGAGGATAATGCACAGCGCACGCAAGGAGTCGCTTTGATGTTGTCAAGGAAGGCACAGGATGCATTGATTGGTTGGGAAGCCCATGGATCAAGAATAATATCAGCAACCTTCCGAACCAAGAAAAAGAAAATAAGGATGAACATAATACAGTGTTACGCACCCACCAACGATAGCAAAGAAGAAGAGAAAGAAACATTCTACAATATACTACACGCAATAAGGGAAAAATTCCCAAATAGAGACCTGAACATCTTAATGGGAAACCTTAACGCCAAGATTGGGAAAGACAACAGTGGATAAGAGGAAATCATGGGACGCCACGGGGTAGGAGAGAGGAATGAGAACGGAGAAATACTAGCAGACTTCCGCGCTCAAATGAGCTCGTTATTGGAGGAAGCGAATTTCAATATAAAAATATCCACAAGATAACATAGGTATCCCCAGACAACGAAACGGAAAACCAGATAGATCACATGTGTATCAGTAAAAAGTTTAGAGTCTCTACAAGATGTACGAGCAAAAAGAGGAGCAGATGTCGCATCCGATCATCATCTTGTTTGGGCGAGAATCAAGTTAAAGTTGAAGAAGAACTGGGAACAGCACACTGCTAAGCGAACCAAATTCAATGTAGCACGTCTGGCACATGAGCACAAAAGAGAGAAATTCAGTGCTACCTTAAGGAATAACTTCCAAGCACTGGAAGACCAAACAGAAGATGACCAAGTAGAACACAAATGGCATAATATAAAGATGTCTGTAATATCCACTTGCCAAGAAGTTTTAGGACAAGTGAAGCAGAAACACAAAGAATGGCTCTCACATAACGCACTGCAAAATATAAAGATGTCTGTAATATCCACTTGCCAAGAAGTTTTAGGACAAGTGAAGCAGAAACACAAAGACTGGCTCTCACATAACGCACTGCAAAATATAAAGATGTCTGTAACATCCACTTGCCAAGAAGTTTTAGGACAAGTGAAGCAGAAACACAAAGACTGGCTCTCACATAACGCACTGCAAACTATAAAAGAGAGAAAGGAAATGAAAAGCCTAGTAAACAGCAGCCGGACCAAGGCGGAGAAAACGAAAGCGCAAGAGAAATATAAAGAAGCAAACCAAAAGGTAAAAAACAGCATTAAAAATAAAAAAAATGCCTACATAGATGGCCTAGCATCAACAGCAGAAGAAGCAGCCTGGAAGGGCAACTTGACAGAGCTCTACGACATAATAAGAAAGATGTTAGGGAGATACAAAAGGCCGGAGAGACCTGTCAAAGATAGAGAAGGTAGGCCAATAACAGAAAGGAAGGAGCAACAAAATAGATGGGTGGAATACTTTAAGGAACTACTAAACAGACCCACAACCACAGATGCAACAGACATACAACCAGCAAATGAAGACCTAAAAATAGAAGAAAGCGCACCAAATAAGGAAGAAATAGCTCTGGCCATCAAGCCGCTCAAAATAGGGAAAGCACCGGGACCGGACAACATCACAGCAGAGATGATGAGAGCTGACATAGATACAATAGTCAACATGCTGCACCCTCTGTTTGAAAAGATATGGGAAGAAGAGAGAGTTCCAAAAGATTGGAAAGAAGGATCCCTCATCAAGATACCAAAGAAAGGGGATCTCAGCAACTGTGCAAATTACAGAGGAATCACACTGCTGTCTGTACCAGGAAAGGTCTTTAACATAATTAATTTGAATAGAATGAGAGACGAGGTCGATATGCAGCTACGAGATCAACAGGTTGGCTTCCGCCAAAACCGATCATGCACAGATCAAATTGCAACACTAAAAATCATTGTAGAACAGTCCATCGAATGGAACTGCTAACTGTATATAAATTTTATAGACTACGAAAAGGCCTTTGATAACCTGGACCGGCAAACCTCATGGAAACTTCTTCGGCACTATGGAGTACCAGGGAAACTAGTCAGGATCATTCAGAGTTCTTATGAAGAAATGACATGCAGAGTGGCCCTCGAAGGTAGACTCACAGATTCCTTTACAGTCGAAACAGGAGTCAGACAAGGATGCCTCTTGTTCCCATTTCTATTCATCCTTGCCATTGACTGGATAATGAAATAATCCACAGACAAAAAGAGGAATGGGATACAGTTGACACTCTGGAACCAACTGCATGATTTAGACTTTGCAGACGACATTGCACTTCTGTCCCACAACCAGCAACAAATGCAGGAAAATACAAAAGACGTAGCCACCAGTTCAGCACAGCTTGGAATCAATATAAATAAAAGCAAGACAAAAATCATGAAGGTTAATTCATCCAACCAAGAGCATATTTGTCTGGCAGGAAAGGCATTGGAAGATCTGGAGTCCTTCAATTGTTTAGGCAGCACCATAGACAAAAATGGCGGATCCGATGCGGACGTAAGGGCCAGAATTGGAAAAGTTAGATCAGCATTTGTACTATTAAAGAAAATATGGGAGTCAAAGGAGCTGAAGCTGTAAACCAAAGTCAGAATCTTTAATACCAATGTCAAAACTGTCCTACTATATGGTGCAGAGTCTTGGAAAACCACAGTGAGCCTTATGCAGAAAGTACAGACATTCATGAACACATGCCTTAGAAAGTTTCTGAAAATCAAATGGCCAAATACTATCACCAACAAAGATCTACTAGAAAGGACATGCCAGGTGCCCATCGAGGATGGAGGTGGATAGGGCACACACTCCGAAAACCCCCAGATAGCACCACCAGACAATGCCTAACATGGAACCCACAAGGAAAAAGAAAGAGAGGAAGGCCTAAGAATACATGGAGATGAGAGCTAGAGGCAGACACGCAAAATATGGGATACACCTGGAAGCAATTGGAAAGGAAAGCACATGACCGTTATGAGTGGAAAATTCTTGTAGACGGCCTATGCCCCAGACAGGGTAGAAAGACATATGTAAGTAAGTAAGTAAGTAAAGACGTGGGCAAAGACCTAGAAAAATACCTGGGCAAATATCTGGACAAATACTTGGAATATGCCGTATCTAAAAAGAATAGCAGTACTTGCCCTCGTCAGTGACGATAAATGACTAAAGAGGTGTACAGCAAGAAACATAGCAGCGGATGATCCGTCGGTAGACCAGATGGCTCTTGGTTAGATCAATAATGATCGGGAAATTATGCTGCAGAGGCGAATCTACAAATAGCTGGTGTCTAATGCATGATACTCGCAATGCTAGTTTAAACAAAGTTTTTATTTAAATTTTCTACTGGATTCTCTTTTCAAAAACAATTAATTTAAAAAATCCAAGCAAATATTTGGGCTGTATGTTTGTTATTCTGATATTAAACAGAGAAAATCATTTGGGAATTAAATAAATATATGTTGTCATTTTATCCAGATCAACATACATGGAATCGATTACATTTAAAATCATGCTTGTAACCATCTATCTATCTATATAATTCGCCAGCAAAGGTCAAACACCACCACCACGTGGCCTATATATAGATACGCAAGAGTGTGTTTAAATAATGAGTTCAATAGCGCGCAAAATATAATTCCCGATAACTACGCTAAATGATATATATCTATTTTTAATAACGCAATTGCGTTTGGTGCGTAATATTTTCTTTTCGGAAATGAAATCGTCTCAATTTAAGTATTGTGTAAAAATATTTGGTTTTAAAGTGGTCGAGACACACGAATATTAATATAGTTCATGGGCGTGAAATAAAAAGTGTGCAGTGACGTATCATGAGGGGAAGGGGTGTAGCAAATATTGGGATTCTTAAATGTACGTCACTTGAGGTCATGTTTTGTCAAGTAACTTTACTAGATGGGAAGGTCACGCCGCCAATGTTTGGCGAGCTCTGTCTAGTATTTTATAAAACATGATGACCTCATATACTTTATAATTAATACCTATCCCTACTTTAAAAACCATGCTTTTTATGATGAAATAAAATTTGAAAACATGTTGCAAACGTTTAATACTTAGTAAGAGCTTTATTAAAATTATAGACCTTTATATTGATGTAAAGGTAGTTTAATAATGTATCATTAAAAATCTTTATAATTGTGAAATTGCAAAAAAAAAATAAATAAAAAAAACAAAAAAAACAACCCCCCCCCCCCAGAAAAGTGGTAAAAACGGAGAGGAATTTTTTTTTTTTAAAGTTAGGACTCACCAACAGTTACACACAGGGTGGGTGATATGTTAAGTTTAATCGGTTTACCAAAACTCTCATTGAGCCACGTAATAAGGCAATATGTTAAACTAATCTAATCAACAGCTGTGACGCACGCACACATCGGCTATCAGGTTTAATGTTCAAATCTTTTTTAACAAAAAGCGCAACACGTAATCCAATGCATCGTTATGTTCATTTATGACTTAGACGTGTATTGATTTTTTAATATAGTGACCCACATCTGGTCTAAATGACCTAAGATAATTGTGTTGGAGTTGGAATAGTTTTGTTCAATTATGTCCGCTGTCGTCCACCATTCTATTTAGTTTACAACAAAACAAAACACATAAAACATGTTTTTTTTTTATTTTCCAGACAATAAAACTTAAATGCCGTCTTCCCTAAAAAGTCTCTAAAGGGTTGGTCTAGATCAGTGGTCGGCAAATCGTGGCTCGCGGGCCACATGCGGCTCTTTAGCGACCAGAGTGCGGCTCGGCCAGCCTGCCAAAAATCATCGGGTTTGACTCTGAAAAAGATGGTTCTTGACAGGTTCTTGAAAAGAAATTTGGCTCTCAAAATTGTATAAATCGCCCTGGTGCTGATTTTTGGCTCTTTTGACCAATGAGCGTGCCGACCAGTCGTCTAGAATCAAGTGTAAGATCAACTCGTCTTTTATCAAAACCTCCGAATGACTTTTATTTGACGGTGACAAAAGAAAGGGTTCGCCAGGCAATTGGGGAGTACGATGACCTACTGGGGACTGTAAAAAAAAACAGCAAACTACAATGATACGGCCACGTAACAAGGAAACAAGGGCTTGCCAAAGAAATATTGCAGGGCACCACAAGAGGAGGGAGAAGAAGAGGAAAACAAAAACAGATGGAAGGATAACATCAAAGAGTGGACAGGACTAGCACTGGGCGATGCTGTGCGTAGTGCAGAAGACAGAGACGAATGCAGGAGTATAGTTCACATTTCATCTGTGGCGCCCCAACAGTCCAAGGACTAAGGGACATGATGATGAACGTCCTTTATTATATTCTGAATAAGTCGTACCATTCCTCTCTTTATTCCAAAACATAATTCCATTATTCAACTCCCCAAACAACTCTGATTGGCCAGTTTCTCCCAAGTCTAAACACTCTGTATATTATACAAGAAAAATTAACCACATTACTTGTATCCCATTAGTGGTTCACATATTCATATCTGTGACACTAATCTCATACATGTGTGGTGCTATATTATGCAATGTGTTATGTATAGCATCCATTAAGGGCAGGGTCAGTTTGGACCATCCCATTAAGAAACTACAAGTCCAGGTCATATCCCCAGTATATTGCAACCCCCCATCCCCAGGACCCTGTCAAAAGTGAAATCCATACCCCCCCCCCGTCTTGGTCCCTACCTGCATGAGATCCCTACTCTGTAAGGTCCCTAACCACTTAAGCTTTCTAATCTAATGATCCATACCTCCATGATATATCTGCAAATCGTGAGTTCCCTACCCCCTTCAGTTCTCTACCCTAGTGGTCACTACCTCTATGATAAATCAAGGTTTCTAACACTTTATGTTCCCTACCCCAGTGAAGTTCCTACCTCCATGACATCCCCCACTCCAAATTCCCCAAGCCGTGACGTTGATCCTATTAGTCAACTAAACATCTCAGAAGCTTGATATTTTAAACTAAAAACAATGTTTCCATAAAATAGAATAATGAAATGCGAAACTCCCTCATGGTGGGGAACACGACTGCTAAAAAACTACCCCACCTACACAGCGCTGCGAAAACTGTGGTGTCATATTCTCATATACGCCGCTGTTATAACTACCCTCCTTCCTGTGGTGCCAGGTCCTTCTATAGACCAGTGTTTATCAAATTTTTAAGTGTGACGGACCAGTGAACCACCGGACTACGGGACCACCGGACAAGTGGACAAGTTTCGAACCAACAGCAAGGAACTGTGCCATATTTACTGATATTTAATTTTTTTTTTTGAACACAAATATTCATGTTGTGCGGACTGACAATGTAAGACTCACGGACCAGTGATATTCATAACCAAATAGAGTAAGCCTTAAACCAGAATAGCCTTCAATATAAGGCTCATCAAATAGATCGAGCGTAGCGATAGTTTTAGGTTTCATTCATGGTCATCGGTTAAAGGCATCAGTTGCAATTTTTTAAAGATGTTATAACAATGACAATTTATTTTATTTTTATAAAAATATATTTTCGTTATATTGTTGTACAAATTTCCCCCACACAGTAGCCTACAAGAAAAACTGCTCACATAAAATTAACTATCCACGCCTCACATAAAACTAACTATCCAAGCCTCACATAAAATTAACTATCCAAGCCTCACATAAAATTAACTATCCAAGCCTCACATAAAATTAACTATCCAAGCCTCACATAAAATTAACTATCCAAGCCTCACATAAAATTAACTATCCAAGCCTCGCTTAAGACTAACTATCCAAGCCTCACATTAAATTAACTATCCAAACCTCGCTTAAGACTAACTATCCAAGCCTCACATAAAATTAAATATCCAAGCCTCGCTTAAGACTAACTATCAAAGCCTCACATAAAATTAACTATCCAAGCCTCACATAAAATTAACTATCCAAGCCTCGCTTAAGACTAACTATCCAAGCCTCACATAAAATTAACTATCCAAGCCTCACATAAAATTAGCTATCCAAGCCTCGCTTAAGACTAACTATCCAAGCTTCACATAAAATTAACTATCCAAGCCTCACATAAAATTAACTATCCAAGCCTCACATAAAATTAACTATCCAAATTAAAGTGTAGAGAAAGTAGAGGCATATAAGTACTTAGGTGTCACCATTAGCAATAAGCTGTCGTTGCATGAGCACGGCCAAATGCTGTATAAGAAATTCAACCAAAGACTGTTCTACCTCAACAAAAAAAAAAACTGTACAATTTGGGCGTTAACAAACAAGTCCTTAACTTATTCTGCAGTGCAACAGTTGGAAGTCTTTTAATTTCAATATTACTTGCTGGTGAGGGAATTATCTGTCGGATATTTTATACCGAATAAACAGACTAATCAAGAGGGCTAGGGATATAACACAAACTAAAATTCCTTCTCTTGAAGAACTATTTGAGGAAAGATGTTATAAAAAATAAACAAATTTTGGATGATACATCACAACCTCTTCATCACAGATACTTGGATCGGCCCGTTCCGGACGAATTCTTTCTCTCAGTGCGAGGAATGAAAGATATAAAGATTCTTTTGTTCCCCAATCTGTACGAATTGACCGGCGTGCTCCCCCAGAGTCACAAAACTAAATGACAACTAATAAGTCCCTGATAAGACTAAGATAGCTCACTGAATCAAATGCCACCATGTGCATCTAGAACCATAGAAGTGATAGATGTTAGTGGTAAACGCATGCACAAGTGAAAATATAAAAGGCATAGCTTGTGGATGTATGACTAACTATGGCGATATCATTGTTACGTCAATAAATTTTTAATTTTTGAAAAAAATTCAAATACAATAAGAAGAATAGTTTTAAACACTATTAGAAAAAATGAAATACAAGACACCTAACACAAGTTTCAGAAATTTTCGATCAATTTTAAATATTTAATTTTCAAATAATTTTAGAATCACTAGATATCTCCAACAGGACCCAACCCCTTATCACGACTGACCCCTAATCTAGACAAGGAGAGTCGTTCTATATAGATGCAAATTAAAGACGAGACGTCCCGTTGATTACAAATTATTCGAAAAAGTCAATTAAAACAATACACTTTGCGTGGCTAGTGACCCTCACATATTGAGAATAACTTTATACAGATAAAAACTACCCCATGGCAAGAATACTAATTACCCTATGACACATACAACAAAATAAATCATTAAATA